ATTTGGGAAAATAACTTGGTCTTGTTTACCACTTGGGCCCTGGTGATGGTTGAACTGATTGGGATTATCCAAAATCCCAAATTGAGTGGGCGTGATTCGTTGATCGTAAATTAAACTTATTAAAACCTGAGCAAGGAGCGACATGGATATCCATCACATCTTGATTCACAGTGGAATGGCTAGACATGACTAGACATGACATCACGAATCATACTGCTTGCTGGCGCCGTAAATATGGAAAGGCCATGTTCCCACGATGTACAGCCGAGACAGGATGAGTCCACGATACACGTTTCTCCTCCCAAGAATCAGAAGATGGGTTTCATGCTTGCCCAGGTAGCTGTCAGTTGTAGCCAGAAAGGGATTGCGTTACCATTCATTCGATAACGGTTACTTAAACTTCAACTTCTTTACCCACTCCTTACCCCCCTTCCCCTGAGATGCGCTTATCGTATATCAAAGAATGATCGTCTACCAGTCATTTAGATTAGGGGTTATCAAGACGACACAAGAGGCGTTTGTCATGGGGAACTTTATTTGTGTGTATGTATGTATGTATGTATGTATGTATGTAGCTCTTCTTTTCTCTGGGGAATTCTTTAAATACGAGATATAGGTACAATTGCTATATTTCAATATATAATAATATCAATAAGTGCAAAAGAAATCATCGTATACTCCGCACTATAAAATTACGAATAATTGAGTATCAGCTATAATAGATACACAGTATTAACACAAATACCAGTAACTATCCGAACATAATTATCATGAATATTGAATATGATAAGAATCCAGATAAAGATACTCAAAAATCCAAGCCACTGTCGCCATCAAGCATCGGAGATATGGATTCTAATCCTAGACACCTGCAACCTTAGAGATGATTGTATTCAGCCACTCAAATAGATATGTACACCAACCCAGGCATGCGAAAGAGAGAAAAAAACTTGTATTCTCAGGATTTAATCAAGCTTTTCCCCTGAGCTAGAGGCTTCAATCAGGACGATAAAGCTGTATGTTCACAGAAGACTGGGAAAATACTGTATTACAGTATTTCTGATGCTATTTCTATTATATAATCTTACATTGATTATTAGTAGGATATCATCCTATATGCGTATATACGAATGTGAACTTCGTACTAAACTTTCCTAGTATATAAGTAGAATATATCGATTTTGGTAATTCTTATCGTTCTGGAAATTGTATAAATATAAGTCTTATGTACCTTTGTGGTCGGTATACATCTCAAGCAAAAACGAGGGGAAGCATCAAATTAATGTATGCGAACACTGACTTCCTAGGTATCCATAGATATAACGAGAAAATACAAATGATGATTTTGAAAACTATTGAATTGAAATGAATAATTACTAGTATCGAAGATGAGCACTATTAATCTTGGAAGGAATTTAATATCCAAATTCCCTTTCCCTCTCCCCCTCTCCGTAAAAGTCCTGACAAAGACCCTTTTCTGTCAACCTACCCCAACCCCCTCTTCTCTCAACCCCCGCCTTTAGATACAACTCATCATTATCTCAACCCTCACACCCCCACCCACACTCAGCACATCCCTAATGACTAGGAGCCGTCTTCCTCACCGCAACACTAATACTCGACCCATCATCAATCTCCTCCGCATTCCACATCAACTGCCACACCCCATCACAAACCGGCGTCGCATAGAAATTCGACACAATCTTCTCCGTGCTCGGATTCTTCCACATGGCCCAATTTCCAAACGTGATGAATCCCTTGGTGGTACCGTTTCCAGCAGTCGATGCGCTAAACCCCGTGGTCGTACTATTCCCAACAACTGCTCCGGTAAATCCCACGTTGGTGAGTCCGCTAGAGGATGGATTGATGACGAGTGCCGATGTGGTTGTGTTGGTCAGTGTCACGCTGCTGTTGCTGGGTGTGACGATCCATTCGCTGGAGGAAGTTGGTGTGACTGGAAGGAAGGAGAGATGTTAGTTGGGTTCGAAGACGGCTTGTGGGAGAATGAACATGCTTGTGGGGGATGGAATCCTTACATGTGATGTTTGCGTTGACTTTGGAGCCAGCTGGAACAGTGTTGCCGATAAATGCATTTCCTGTTTGTTGAATTAGTCTTATGAGACCAGTCGATGGTATACGACTGTTAGCTTACCATCGGAGTAGTACACTGGAAGGCCACCAATACCAGTACCATACGCATATAAGTGGAATGAGTCGGTAGAGCTAGTAGTACGTTTTTGGAGGACAGCAGCAGATGCCGTCAGTCCTCCGAAGAGGAACAGGAGAGGAGATGTAAACTTCATGTTTTCTTGAATTCGTAAAGAGAATGTATCGTAGGCAAACGAGTGAAGATCCTTACACCAGAAGAGGACGAGGAAGGGATGAAATGTATGAAAAGAACGAAAATTTGGGTATACAACAACTGACGTGGAAATGCGAAGAACTTACCGTTAATATTATATCGAACGGGAAAACAAATATCAGAGTAACAAAGCTCGGGGCCGACTTGTAAGAGTCCTTTATCAGCTTTAACATGTCCAATAGAAAGGCTTTTCAACGCACCAAGAACTATCTTGGACCTTTGCTAGTCAGGAGAAAATATCTGACCCTGTGGAAGCTTGAGCCGTAATGGGGATAGATACACAATCAATAACGCGGGATGACAAGAACGAAAGTCAGTGCAATGACACACCAACCCATCCAGGGTGCTTTCGTCAGCCTGGTCGATCATATGGAATAATTAGTCCACGCCACATGGTGGTTGGATGTGATGGTGAAAAATGTGCAATTGCACGCGGCTCTCGATCCGAATTTAGTTGCTTTGTGGAGTGGCTCGAGAGTGCTCATACCAGAATCCCAGATACGATCTGCACGGGTCTTGATGGGAAGGATCTCCCTCGTTGGAGCTCAAAGATTCTAACTCAAAGAGCGTAAGTGATTAGACGGCAAATTTTCCGACAGTCCGAGCCATTGAACCGGGTGGGTAGAGGTAGAGACTGAAGACGAGAGGAGTGAAGAGAGGCGAAAAGGGTCCCGCGACTCTGGTCCAGCTGGTGCAGGTGGTCTGAGAAACAGACGGATGAGGTTACCAAAATCAAATCATATTCGGGAAAAATAAAAATCAGAATTTCGATCTCAAACCACATAACATCGCTACTTTGATTTTGAAAGCCTGCCAAGAATCATGAATTTGAATCAACAATTTACTAGATTTTTATCTGTTGAAAAAACCAAAATAAGAAATTCCATTGTTAATACATTTTGAATGATGTCGTGAGAGGCAGTTGAAGGAAAGTCGAATGGCAGCTGGGAGCTGGAGAGATATCGGGAAGCACAAGTGCACGGTTCCGAGGCATTTTCGTTTGTAATGTTTCAGGAGATGAGATTAACTGATCAACACAACCTTGTGCTGCGATGAATTGAACAATCTGAACTTCGTATCGGACGATGAAGAGCTGGAGTATCTCTCGGCACAAATCGAATCTGAAACTTGGGGATATAAATTTATATCAGAAAGTATGAAGTGTAGGGGTTCTATATATATTTATAGAGCGAGTGGGGTCGACGAGATGGGTATGGAGGGGATACATTGATATTCGGCCGTCTTGGGAAAAAAGGTAATATCTTCAGATCAATGATGATTCGAGGATAGATGAAATGGCTGTGCTAATTACATCCATAGACCTGGTCACCCGATATCAAGCTAACCAATTAAATGTATTCCATTTTTTGTTCGTATCGTTCGGCATGATCGAGCGATATACGAATGCAACGACGATCTCCCATAAGTAGATCCCCCATTGTGTTTCAAACATTCTTCTTTCCCTGCGTATCCATTTTCGTTTCTTCTTCCCTTCAGCCTCTTCAGCCTCTCCTTTACGTCCTCGGTTGCACACTTCATTGGTCCCTCTTGAGATTACCTAAGATGAGTGGTATCTTTTTCCATTCTTCCAAGTTACGCCTACCTGTTAAGCAACGTTGATCGTCTAACGATCTCCCACTACCACATGTCAGATGAAACAGACGCGAGATCCAGATCCACGCATTCGAGACTTGGATTTGAAGAACGTATTCAGCAGGAGTGTGGTTATTGTTATCATCATCTTCTGACATGATATCTCGATTTGAAGATATCATGTATTCATACGCAAGACACACTGAAACATCCGTTTGTAAAACGCTTCCACGGACGGATGATCGAATGACTATTCCAGAGCTCACAGAGCATGCAAGTCATCAGTCCAACAAAGACAATGAGGTGCTACCGATACCCATGCCACTAGGGTACTAAATCGCCACACGATGCGAACTATTGTACCTGACTACTGAGTTGCAAAGCTTTCTCATCGTACCATGAGTTCAAAGAGAGAGAGAAATACTCTAGCAGTACTCTCTATTTGGAATGGCTTCTCTCTTATTCGACCTTGGACATCAGTTACCACTAGGACAAGTTGAGCCTACAAACAAAACTAGTCAGGTACGAGAATAAGTAAAATGTCCGATCACTTTAATCAAATGAAGAACTAATACCAAGGCTTGTACGTCGCTTAACCTTAGGACCCCGAATTTATTTTAGCTACTCGTGCCTTACTTGGTAAAACATTTGAAAATGGATGCACAGACAACATCCGCCATTCACGCCTTTGACCTAGGACAGATTCAAATGCAGGTCTCCTTTTCAAGTCTAAGTTGTGTGCTTGTCAGAGACTCAGAGTTGTTATTTCAATTTAATTTCTCGCCAAGTAAATTTCTGCCTGATTCTCAATTCGGCTGGTGGCATCGATTATTGACTACTGAGCTTGACATATGTACATCCTAATACTATTTCGGATCCCTCTTAGGATGATCAAAGCACTAGGATATTTTCATTATCTGCACTGTCAATCTAGTACGAACTTGAGGCCTGCCATGGTGGAGATCCGTGTGGTGAATTGCACTAAGATTTTGCGTCCTAAGTCTCTTTGAGGATTTGTACGAATACTGTACCAAGGGAAATGTCTACTTCGGTGCTCGGGTCCAGAGGACTTTGACGGTAAGCATCGATGTGATTCCTAAGTAGTTTACCTTACCCGGCTCAAGGTGTTGAATCTCATGATTGCAAAAATATTCTTAAGGGAGATTCATCCCCACTGGTACAACTTCATTCTTTACAATCCAGTACAGTCCGTTTTTCATTCTCTCCCTTCTACATTCGATTTCTTTTTTTTCTTTGGCAACCTCACTCGAGGACCATAACAATCTTTTATACTACACAAACTTCAACACCGAATCCCGTATATTAGAAAGTTTCAGGGAACTACATCATGCGTCTTCACATTCTTTTGGCCTTGTGCCTTTCGTTTTGCCAAATTCAAGCAAGTCCTCTTTTCGGATGGTTCTTTAATCCAATTGCCACTCTTCAGGCAGACCTTCTCAATATCATCAATCAAGCCGAGTGCTTAGTTTCCACAAAAGTTTCTTATATCCCATCAATCCTTACCAGTGGAAACACCAATGCCGTTACATCAAATAAGTGTTCAACAACAAGCGGCAAAACTACCAGTGCCGCAGCTGTCCAAAGTTCCCTCTCTTCTCTTCAATCTGTAGCTTCATCTAAATGGAGTTCGCTCCAGAGCTTATTGTCTACAACTACTTCGCTTCCTCCCATTCTTACTACTAGTCTCACTACCTCAACGGCTAAGCCTACGAGCACTTCGAGTGTCACTTCAACATCAACAACTGCAAATACTGTGTCTTCAACTGCCAAGCCATCCTCGATCACTAGCACAACTTCTCCAGTATCCTCTTCAACAGCGTCCTCGACCAGCAAAACTTCAAGCTCGGCTGTAGCATCAGGAACCCCATGCGCAGGCAATACCGCTGCTGATAGATCAAAGTGGTGTGACTATTCGACAAGCACTGATTACTACAATGAAGTGCCAGATACTGGTGTCACTCGCGAGGTAAGAAATTTCTCGAGTAATCAATAAACTTCTCTAATCTCAGATTTTAGTACTGGTTCAACGTTCAAGATGGCGTTGCTTCACCTGATGGATTTTCAAGATATGTTCAAACTATCAATGGAAGTATCCCAGGGCCAACCATTATTGCCGATTGGGGTGATGATGTCGTGGTACATGTGACAAACAGTCTCGCTACCAACGGTTCAACTATTCATTTCCATGGTATTCATCAAAAGAATACCAACCAAAACGACGGAGTTCCATCAGTTACCCAATGTCCTATTGCATATGGAAATACTTATACCTACAGATGGAGAGCTACTCAATATGGTTCATCATGGTATCATTCTCATGTTGGACTTCAAGCATGGGAAGGTGTTGCTGGTGGTATTATCATCAATGGTCCTGCCACAGCTAACTACGACGAGGATAAGGGAACGCTCATGCTTAGTGATTGGGGTCATGAAACTGTTGATGAGCTATATCAAAAGGTTCAGACTGTTGGTCCTCAATCAATGACTACAGGTCTTATCAATGGTACCAATGTTTTTGGGGCGGATGGTGCTAGTAATCAAACTGGTTCTCGTTTCTCAACTAGTGTTGAGTCAGGCAAATCATACAGATTCCGTCTTGTAAATAGTGCCATCGATTCTCAGTTCAAGTTCTCCGTCGATAGTCATACCATGACTGTTATGGCGATGGATTTTGTTCCTATTGTTCCGTATCAAACTGATATTCTCAACATTGCTATTGGTTAGTATTATCCTCGCTCCTCGTTATATAAATCCTCACTAACACCTTTCTCACAGGACAACGCTACGATGTAGTCATCACCGCAAACCAAGCATCTGTCGCCTCTGATTTCTTCATCCGCGCTATTCCCCAATCTTCCTGCTCTGAAAACGATAATTCAGATAACATCCGAGGTGTTCTCCACTACGGATCTTCAACCGGTCTCCCTACAACCACCGGCTACACTTTCACAGACGAATGTGTTGACGAACCTGTCTCCTCGCTCGTTCCATACCTCCCAAAAACCGTTTCAGCCGCTTCTAAGAGCCCCGAAGAAGCCGTCACCGTTGCTCAAAATTCACAACAACTTTTCAAATGGTATCTCAACAACTCTACCTTCCTCTCAGAATGGGAAGATCCAACTCTTCTCATGGTTCAAAATAACATCACCGCATTCGGAACACCAGATAATCTCGTCGAGGTACCCAACGCGAATGAATGGATCTACCTCGTTATCCACAGCGCGCTCCCCGTTCCCCATCCCATCCATCTCCACGGCCATGACTTCTTCGTCGTCAGCCAGCAGGCCACCACATTCGATGCCACCACCGCCATTTCCACATACAATCTTAACAACCCCCCACGAAGAGACGTGGCCACGCTACCCGGAGGTGGATACCTCGTTCTCGCATTCGAGACGGACAATCCCGGAGCCTGGCTCATGCATTGCCATATTGGATGGCACACCAGCATGGGATTCGCAATGCAGTTCTTGGAGCGCGCGAGCGAGATCCCAAAGCTGTTGGATACCACGCAGTTGCAGGATACGTGTGCGGCGTGGACTGGACATGCCGTGATACAGGAGGATTCGGGGGTTTAGATTTGGGGGGTTTATATAATTATTTCTTGTCGCTCTTTTTAAGATTTTATTTCTATTTGTGTTGGATGATGGATTGATGGATGCTAGATGCTTGATGCTAGATGCTAGATGTTAAATATCTAGGGGAAAAAGGAGAAGACGAGGATATATCATATATCCAAGATTAGAAACTCGAGTAGATGAGTGAGAGTAATGATAATTGATCATTCGTCTATGCAGACGAAGAAAGAAGGAGACGGGCAAAAAGAGGAAGAGATATCAATGGATAGGTATCTACCTAGATCAATCGATGATAACATATCACCGGATAGGATAGTATCTAAATATAATCTAAAACAATTTTTATAAAAAATACTTAAATGCATGCTCAAGACTTCTGTTCTATGTCCTAAATTTAAATGATGGAAGGGGGATGATAACGAGATGATTGGTATCTTTCGTTCGTTTGTAAAGTGCGACTCCGCGCAAGGCATCGTATCTAGTCTTGAAGAAACTCTATACTAGAGGAGACAAATAAGGTTTCTCCAACCTCAGCAGCAGAGTTTTGAGAGGAAGGAAAGTACATCGCATTGAGTACCATGATTGTAGAGACGAATGGGCCTTGGACAAGCATAGTTGTAAGTGACGGGACGATTATTTTTGGATATGGTAAAAGAAGAAATGTAAGTCTGAAGAGAGAGACTCCAGACTTGAGGGGCACATATTAATATAGATGAAATTTGCATCTATAGATTTGGTCCTTTGCAATTTCAATTTGTCTCTTGCACCTTGGAGCGCCCAAATCAAGACGATATCTGCATTTTGGAATTTACCTTCGCATTCCCACACTGGATGCGCAAGCTCATAGGGATATAACGTTACATAGTACAGACGACGATGTCATCTTCAGAAAGCTATCGGTCTCACACGATGGCGACTGTGTATGGGGCACAGAATGCAAGTGGCCATTTGAAGCTCTTGATCTGATGATGCGGCAAACTCGTTGCTGCGGATTAGATATTCCTCTTCGGGAGGCGGGTAGGAAAGAGCTGGACCACCAGCTTGCCAATCTGATGTACCCAACCTAGTCTAATGAAACTTGGGAACAGATAAATGCTGTTTTTCTCTGGGCAGCGAAGAAAAGAGGATGTGAAAATCGAATAGAAATGTAAACGAAGCTAGGTAAACAGTGAACCTTTGAAGTCGGTAATAGCTTTGTAATGTAGATAGACATGGGCCGAAGAGAAATGAAAGCGTATATCCTGTTAGAACCTTGTTGACTTGATCCGAGATGCAAGTTTTACTTTATATACCTAGCCTTGGTAGTACCTAGTAGACAACGCATAGTCATAGACAGAGGATTTTTTGTGAGAAGTTTTTAAGCATTCGACTTCTTTCTCAAGCACGTATCGTAGTACAAGCATCTCGGTGTTTGCATCGAGCATGACATTCTGCTAGATCACTCTGTTAGATGCTAGCTGCGAAGATATAATCTAGCATCTGTTGATCGAGGTTGAAGGGTGCTTGTTTCGTCACTAGACTTGCTATCAAGGACAATGTAGTGTTCAGGAGCTGCAGCCATTTTTAGTATATTGTCCAAATGCGCATTGTCGGCCTCTGTTACCGAGGCCGATTTGAATCATTTGGACAAAACCCCAAAAATAGATTTCTATTTAAGCTAAAGCGTTTGAGAATTTAGTAGTATACTTATGAGAAAAAAATATTCAGTATAGTATATATAATACAATTTTTGTTTTTAATATTTTTATAAATATATTATTTAAATTATACAAACTATTTTTATATTAGATAGAAATATATTTTTAATATATCGTTGAAATGATTCAAATCGGCCTTGATATAATTGTAAAGTTATAAAATACTGTTTTATTAGATGTTTTTCAATGGAGGTGATAAGATAGATACTCGGATCAGATAGATAGATAGATATCCAGAAGGTCAATGCACTAATTCTCCACAATCCACCCACGCACAAGGCTGAGAAACCACCACATTTTCCCACCCACCCTCATCTCAGCCTTCCCTCCCCCAAAATGCCCCCCCTCCCCCTCCTCCTCCTCCTCCAAAAACCATGTCCCGGCTCCTCACCTTCCTAAAGATCTCTCCCTCCCCCCTGCCCTCAATTCTCAAACCCTCATCTCTCTTCAAAAAGAAACACTCCCGCAAAATCTCCACCTCATCTCCCACATCCACACCCACATCCTCCCGCATCCCTCCCTTCCTCAAAGAATTCACCTACTGGTCCCTCATCATCGCCTCCTGGATCCCCGCATCCATCTTCTTCCAAGATCACATCGCCGAGCTGCACATCATCAATGGCGCTTCTATGTATCCGTTTCTGAATACAGGGTATAATGAGAGTTTGACGCGCGATGTATGTTTAGTAGACAAGAGGAGGAAGGGAAGAGATTTGGAGAGAGGAATGCTCGTTTCTTTTAGGCAGGTTTTATTTTTCCTCCTCTCTATTTTTCTACATTGATTGTGAAACGTTTCATCATCCATTATTTTATTTAAACACAAGATGCAAGATCCAAAATATAATGCCCAAGCTAATTTTCCTCCCTCCCCAATACAGATCCCCCTACCACCCCGAAACTCTAGCAATAAAACGCATCATCGCGCTCCCAGGTGACCGCGTCTATACTCACGCCCCCTATCCCTACCCCTATGCCGATATACCTGCAGGCCACGTCTGGGTCGAGGGCGATAATGCCGATTCGAGGAAAACTTTAGATAGTAATCATTACGGACCGATTGCGATAAATTTGATTACTGGAAAACTGACGCATGTGCTTTGGCCTTGGAGGAGTAGGGGAAGAGTTAGGTGGGAGCAGTGGAAGGGGAGGACGAAGGTGGTGAAGGGGTGGAATGGTGGAGCCTGATCTACTATCCGGATATGGTTGAGAAGCTTGATATTGGTTGGATGATTGATCTGGTGTTCTTCCAATGGGTCTTGTGGTGATACGGGCTCTTGATTTGTATCACCAATCGAAGGATGGATAAAGTATGAAAGCGGATTTCAATTGACTTCTAATACTATCTAAGCCGGACCTAGTAATTATCAATCTAGGAAACCATCTATCTATTCATTCTTTTTTCCCTCCTCTACCTCCGGTTTCTTATCCGCAGCTACCCCCATAGCACTTAACGCCTTTTCGATCTTTCTATACGCAAACGAGAAGCCTGGGTAAAGGAATGGTCTCAGATCATATCGATTGTCATCGGGTGAATATTGCTCAGCATGATAACTCGGTGTAAGGGTAGTCATCTTATGACGATTAGTAGAATAGCACCAAAAGAACCATCTAGTCTTTTCATAAATCTCTTTTGGGGAGAGGATATGACCCCATTCATGCAAAAGTTTGGTCCACATTCCATATGGTCCTAACTTATCCACTTTGCGAAGACGACCGTAGATTGATAACTCGTTGTAGCTCATACCCATGTCAGCTTCATCACTCTGTACGTAATCCTCGGTAATAGGTTCGAGTTCAGCAGTTGGTGGAGCGTCGATAAAGTCTTGGAGGAGCGGCATTTCAAATTCTGTACTGGCCCAGAGAATGAATCTTTTCAAATCCGTTTTGGAAATGGCGCCAATGGGATTGATATCTGCACTACTACAATCGTATTTTGTGAAGTAACCTCTGAGTGATTCATCGACATTTGCAGATCCTAGGACTAATAAGGATCCGGGCTTTGTTCTTCCACGGACAGTAGGTAAGAGCTGGGCAAAGAGATAAGCTAAAACCATGCGAAGTCTAGCTTGGATGTTTTGCAATGCCAAGTTCGATGCCGGTGTTCCTCCATACATCTTGTACTTCGGCGTGTAACTGGTAACGGTTGTGAACAGTGTGGTGACCGCTGAAACAACAGTGTCAATGTTGAAATCAAGATGGTAACTACCAATCGTTTCACCTAAATGCTTGGCGCGACCTCGTGTCTCTGCTGAGGAATTTTCAGATCCCATATAAGCAGTATGGAAGATGCGATTGGCAATATCCTGTGCGCTGGATGGACGCCATGTACTGTCTTCCTCTTCTCCAGCGATTCTGAGCAGATCTTCAATAACCTGAGGGTTATCGCCTTTCTCAATTGCTGCATAGACGATCCGACACATCGAATGAACTATGACTGAAGTAGCACAACTATCGATCCCTCCAGATAGTGGCACAAAATATCCCGCCTGACGAGATCGGCGAAGGTAATCCCATAAGAAACAAGCTGGACCAAGCGCAATCTCTTCCTCAGGAACATGATATTTGATTGGAATTTCCTTGGTAGGTTGCACCAAAGGATTCACGTCTTCAGCATCACTCGAAAGGCTCATACCAGCTTCGATTCTTTCGTATGCCGCTGTTTCCCTCGATTGCATGGCACGGGATCTGAAGGTTCTATATGCCCTCACCTCTTCTAAATCAACAGTGGCAGTCACCACCTCTACGTCGTATAAAGAGAATTGACTTGCTTGAGCGACAACTTTACCATTGACAACAATCATGGCGGATCCATCATAGTAAAGGCGATCTCCATCGCAACCCTGCTGATTGGCATATAAATATATGCCTCCGGCCTTCAAAGTAGCTTCCTTGATAAGTTCAAGACGAATGTTTAGCTTCCGAAGCTCATGATGGCTGCCACTGCTGTTGGTAAAGATCTCAACACCATCCAATGACATATTTATATGTGGTGCCCTTGGCGTGAATAACTCCTCGCAAGTCTCAGCACCAAAGCAAGAATCGTAAGTACTGATAACAGCATCTCCAATCGGAACTTTATGTTGTCCCGTTACTTTCGTGATTAGTCTTGGCAAATAGTACTGCTCAACGATCCTCTCTCCTTTCCATGGTGTGAACCATCTCTGCTCACGATAATTCCCATCAGAAGCCAACGAGAGCTTAGGTCGAATGAGTAATATCTATTCCTTCATCAGTTTCAGCTCATTATCAAGAAGATATCCAACAGCTCACTGACCTTAGAGTTATAAACAATAATTCTACAATTATAGTTTACATTTTTATGGCGAACTGGCATTCCTATATCAAGTAGAATTTCCTGACACTCCTCATGAGCAATGATTTGGGCCAGAGACTCCCACGAATGCAATTCTGTATCTGATTCCAGACTACTATGAATTAGCTCAAATTCAATTCTTCAAAAGCGCCTTCAAAAGTCCAGATGGCAAGTCCGATAACCAGGAAGTTTCGATCTCTGAATTCAATTTGAACATTCAAAGCATTCAAACCGTTCAAGTCATTACCAAACCCAAACCCACAATGCTCATCCCATTCCCCTCAAAACTTCTTTCCCAATACCAAAACAAAGCACTTACAAATGATCCTGACATCCATATCCCGTAACCTCCAATTCCGGGCCAACCCTCAAGGACGCCCCCGCCTTCTTCGCCCGTCGAATACTTTCAATAATGCGCTTTTGATTGCCGTCAAAATCCAGCGCCCACTGATTAAGATTGCATGTTGCGAGGGTTGCAAGATGACCCATCGTCACGAACTTTCTGCGATGAGAAAATGGCGTGTTGTTGTGCTGGATTATACTGCGGGTGAAGTATCGCCGAGTGTGTAGATGTATAATACAATAGAACCTGGTTGTACCTATATCAAAAATTCAACCTGTTTGTATCGGTGGGTTAGACTAAGGTTATCAATACCTAGTACGTTTAGTTTGACATATGACTAAATTAGTGTTACACGTGATTATTTTAGCTTCGAATACCTAGTCTAGTATCTTTCCAAAAAATTATTCAAGTTTTATTGAAAAGTTATATAATATCCATATTAGTGATCTACATCGTATAAAAAAAATACTCTATCGATACTAGTAAATGGGATACGATTTTTAATAGTAGGAGCGGAGCTATTATGTAATTAATCAATGAATTTTCTATCTAATCTTATTAGTTTAAGATGATTTACACTTTAGAACTATATTTTATTATAGTAATCATAAGTAGTTGAGAATAATCATAGTATTCGTACCTACTAGATAGGTATCTATAGATTAGATATCAATTTCCTTATTTCTTATATTCAAATATAAAGAAATACCTATAAATACAAGCCCCCCTCCCTCCCTACTCTTCGTTCGCTAACCTTATAGCAAGCACCAGGTAAGATTTAACCATACGTACCTACCTAGTACCTAGGTAGCTAACACCATACTGAATAAATCAATCATCTTAACCAAAACAAACAATCCAAGAGAGAAAAACAAAAATATAAATAATATTGTCTTACTAATTACTCGCGATGTAATGAAGACGCGATGTAATGAAGAAGATCTAGAAGAAAGAGTAGGTAGGTAAAAGATTGCCTAGTATATATATATTTGGAGGTTAGATTACTGGGAGAGCTAGGGATTGGAGTAAGTATTTGTTAATTTGTTACCAGAGATACCTATATAGTATGCAACTCTGAGTTGGAAATCTTACACATATACACATATACACATATACACATATACACATATACACATAATACACATATACACATATACACATATACACATATACACATATACACATATACACATATACACATATACACATATACACATATACATATACATACATATACATACATATACACATATACATACATATACACATATACATACATATATACATACAAACATACAAATTCCTCATCCTTACCTACCTACCGAGCCTACCTAGATACTCAGATAAACATACAATTTCACATTTCGATTCCAAAAAATGCGAAATTCAATATATACATAATTCCATTTTACAATACAATACACTACACTACCTAGGTATACTATATATACCTAGATAGGTATACCTGGATATCTATACCCACTACTCACTATGCACCATGCACTATGCACTTCCTCCAATCATTCCTCCAACCATTCATCTATTCATAACAATTTCTCACTCAAACCATCTCGTCTCATCCATATCACACTCTATCACCCACCTCCATATCTCATCTCATCCCGCCATTCGTTAACTTTCGTGAAAACAAACTCGTACAATCTATAAGCACATCGCATTGCATTGCATTGCATCGCATCCCATCCTAACCCGCCGTATCGTATCACATCATCAATCCATACACCCTCGCAAAACCAACAAATTGTCAACTATCCCATCCCATCCCATCCCATCCCACAAATGAGAAGAAAAAGAAACCCAAAGAACCCCCAAACCAACCCAATCCGCAAAATTTGCATCCCATAACCAGAAATGAAAAACACTCTAAGCACCATACCTCCCACCAAAAGAAGAGATCAAAGTAAAAGCTAAAAGCCCCCTCACCTAAGGACCCAAAATATCCCTCACAATACACAAAATCCCATTGTCAGGACAAACCTTCTCCCTCACCAATCCCTTAGTCACCGGCCCCGTCGGTCCTCCCACATACTTCCAGAAGCCAAAGAATTTACTCTGTCTCTTATCATCCTCAGGATACTGAGCATCCCCCCATTTTCCCAAATACTCCATCGCTTGTATTGGACTATCCTCACTTGCTTTTGAGAATTCCTTCGTCGTAGCATCGTATGTGTAGAAATACGATGAGAGAACTGGATCCCATATTGTTCCTCTCGATGTATAATCTTGGAGTAATCCGGCTGGCAAATTTAAATCCGGGATTGTATGATCATGGGTCCCCGAAATCGCATAATTAGCATGACTTCCTCTCGCAGAATAAGCAATTGGTCTCTTTCCACTCTTCTCAACCACTGAATACTTGAAAGCTTGTCCGTTTGCATGTTGCGAGTACCAGACTGTTTGAGGAGTACCGTTTACGAAACGAATCATATTATGTTCCCAATCTCCTATATGGTTACCCAACTCTTGACCAAGTACTGTATTTCCTTGGTTGTAGGCATAGAAATACATGTAGAAGACATCGACCAAACCATCTCCATGATCAGTAAGGATGACGGAACAGGAGATGGCATCTTGAGTGCGACCGGTTGTGGAAGAAGGGACAACTCCGGTTAGGAAGGTAGGGGAGGTGGTGATATCGACTGTGGATGTTAAATAGACTTCTGTGCCCCAATTGTTTAGCTGATCAATCGTCTCGAGATTGAGAGGGGATGGTAGAGTGTCCTCGGGTATCAACGAATGGTTGACATAAGGTTTAGTATTGAGGACCTGAGCGTATATATCCGAAGGAAAATACATTTCTGATTGATCTAACCAGACGAGTGGTGCTAATGAACCCACATGTTAGTGGATACTGTGATTATATGAATGTCTGATATACTGAATGAAACTTCTTACCATAATCAAATACATATGAAGGTAGAGTAGTATTAGGCAAAGCAGCTCCATTACCAAATCTGAACATTGCCAACCCCAAGCATGTCAACATATGCTGCTGTTGGTACAACATTGTAATTAATAGAGCAATTGCTATAAGCTTTGCAGACACAAGTTAGCTGTCTGAGTTCAACTTCAAATTCTATCCTGATATTGATTTTAACCCCACCAAGCTTGTATGAGCCGAGGAGAATTATAAGAGGGGAAAGTCCGTCACAAATCACAAGAGCCAACATACCTCCAACCATATCGCAGCCCCAGGAAGCCTTTTCCTCGTAACATATCTGGACCATCCACAAAGCCATTGAACAGCCAAAGCATCAGCGTCTACTACCTCGGCACCTACGCCACTGGCGAGGCCCTTCTCCTCGTCCATCCTATCGGTCGATTTCTCCACGGCCATAATGTCCGTGGCTGATTCCAAGAAACAAGTTTAAATGCAGGCTTCAAGAATCCTATGTCCCACCTCGTATAGTATAATTTTCGACCGTTTCGTAGAATGGTTTATTCGAATCCCAACAGGCCCGTCAACATTGATGCGCAGCGTAAGCGCAGAGAATCAAATCCGACCTCAATCAACTATTTCGAGTCCCGAGTTCCTGGCCTACCACACAATTTCTCGCAAGACCAATTCAGATCTTCTCGCAATGCAATTTCTCACAACAGATATCATGTAAAATCTTCGGAATCCAGTTCGTTGGCGTACAGGTATCGACGTCTCTTCTTCCCCTTACTTGTCTTAACTCTTCGAATCAATAAAATCCGCAGCTTCCCTACGCCCCGCGCTTCCTCTCTAAATACCAACTCCCGTCGCACCAAATAGGTATCGTGCCTATGAAAGTACCGTAAAGAAGGAGATCATGCAGAGCCCGCTCGTGCACATATAATCATCTACTCAATGACTGAATCATGCATTCACTGCGTCCGTCAAGAATACCTTCCAACTGAGTCAATGGCCGTACCGGAGGGTAGGAAACCGGTCAGGGTCGGTCTGTTGGTTGGAAAGCTTAAAAGGTAGGGTTATACACGATGGAATCTGCTCGTATATATTCAAGTCATCTGTAACAGTACAAAGAGACCATACAACCATAGTTTTGTTCGTGGACATTAATAAGAAGTACACCTGGGCACACCACGCAGTAGATGGGATCTGCCAAAACTGCCCAGGTGGTGGCTGATAAGTGGCTGATAAGGTTTCAATGCAATCAACTTCCCCAATTGGTCTCAGCTTTCTTACATACATCATCTTACACTAACATTTCCTCGGCAGTTTCCACTCCGCAAAGCGCCACATGGGGATCGGACTGCTAGCCGATTGGTTGGCTCTTCTATTTATATTTCGGTCATTCATCCATCAATCATCCCAGCCATGAACCGATTTACAACCCATGGTTTCTTGAATTGACATCTGACAAGGAGCTTTGATAATGTCTCTTGATCCATTTTATCATACGCTCCCGAGCAGTCATTTTAAGTTTCGCAGGTTTCAGACTTTATATGGCATAAGCGTCACAAGTGATATCTAATGATTGCGTGAGTATGAAAAAAGGACAATAGCTTATAAACTAACTAGATAAGTAGGTAAACGAATGATATGCGCCATCCATGCCTTTCCCCTGAATCCTTATTCCATCCCACTCCCGAGTCTCCCAAGTAAGTAGGTAGGTCTTAAAATACCTATTCATCCATCAATCCCTTGCCATCCCTTAGCTTCTTAACCTGGTTTAATCCTATACACCCATACAAAAGAGACGTTCATCTTTCTTCATCCATACACCTCTTACACCTACTGCCAACGCAGTGGCGAGCCAATAACAGGTGTGGTGATGTTCAAGATTACCTAGTACATAAATTACTTCCCCATGCTTGACTCCATTGCCCCTCCCACCTATCCCCACTTCTCTCATCATTAAATTGTACTATTCATTCCCTCAGGACCTAATTACCGATTCCTGTCCTCCTCCCCTCTTCTAGGACTTCTACTGCTCGATTGAGAGGCTAGACTCCCGCTCAACAAATTCATAGAGCTATCAACCAACATACTCCTCCAACTTTCTCCTCGTCTACTAGGTCTGCCAGCGCGAGTTGGTGTCGGAGGAGAAATTCCTCGTTCTAGATCTCCTTCAATCTCGTCTTCAAGATTGCGGGAGATGGGCAGTGCAGACGAGGAGGCAGTATTTACAGTTTCTGCTGCTTGAGCTTGTATATCGTCATCACTGTCATCATCATGATACGCTTCATAGCGTGGAGAAGAAGGTGATCCTCGAGCGAGGGAACGAACGACATCGCCTTTACAGATAGGACATGTCCGGCGGCGAGTAGTTAACCAGGGTGTTCTAAAGAGAAAATTGTCAATAAATTGTAGACGATGAGAGTGAAGAAAAGGGCACGTACATGCAATCCACGTGAAATTCATGGCCGCAAGGTAAACTCATGACTTGACTGACACCATCCACATATTCCTCTAAACAAACCACACACTCTATTTGCTTACCCATATATTTCTTCCATTGACTAGGTGATCCAACGTTCTTCTCGTGCTCATTAGGCTGAGGTGCCGTGAGTAGTGGTACTTGTAATGGATTTGAATTGACTCGAGCAATATCTCCAGGCTCTGGAATCCCTGTTGTTGTGCGTGATCTCGGACGAGGTCTACCTGGTGTTGTATGTGATAGAAGTGGGGTGGATGCTGAAGAACTAGTTGGGGATGGAATCGTTGGAGATCGACTACCAGGCGTATTGATGGTTTGGTAAGTTCTGACAGGTAATCTTTCGACAACCGATTTCGGTGCTCTCCAACGACGTCGCCTTATTCTAGATCTCAGAAGTAGTAATGCGTAGACCACGGTCAAAGTGACAAGTGGACTAACAATTAATACTAACAAGGTGTCAAGGAATGGACTGGCTCCGCTGGTAGGTGTCAATGTAACCCAAAGACCATCTTCCTCATCCTCTTCGTCATCATCATCTTCATTCTCATCATCAATATCAACACTGCCCGTACTGCTTGATCCTGACGCGAGGAATTCAAAGTCCTCTTCATCATCACCAAAGATAGTTGTCAAAATACCCTTTGTCTTGCTACCAGATGAGCTTGACTTGTCAGTCGTCTCCTTGGCCTTGGTCTTATCCACTTCCGACGCAAGTTTAGGGGCATATTCTCCACTGCCAGGAGTAATACTTCCTCCTCGCAGTTTGGGCGCCGCTTCAGTCTCTTGTGTGGCACCACCTGAATTCTTTTTTCCTGCCTTTGTCGGCTGCGGCGATTGATTTTTTGCCTGATCTGCATCAAACTTCCCGTCCGTCTTTGCAATACCTGTTTTCGAGTTCTTGCTATCAGATGACCCTACCAAATCTGGATCACGCCAATCCTGTACACCAATCACAAAATCATCACCTGATGCAGGCTTATTTCCACCTTTGCTAGTTTGCTGTGATTTTTTATCAGCATCCGCCTTTTCTTGACCTGTGAGTTTGGCGGTTGATATTTTTTTCGTGCCAGCGTTATCATCATCCTTCCAATCGTCAACAAGAACCCAATCAAGTTGACCGCTGCTCGGCGGCCGACTACTATCCTTTACCGAACTTCGTCCACCAGTTCCATAGAACAACGATTTGAACCACCCTGGCTTCTGCGTTTCGATTATTGTGGTTTCGCCTTTCACTTTTGTAGACTCCTTCTTAGTCGTCTTCTTCAGATTTGTTCGACCCGCCTTCGTAGCTTTGGGTGTAGCTGTAGTGGCTGTAAATGCGGGCTGAGATTCCTTCGTCTTCTTCTTTTTGGTAACTTTCTTGGCCTTGTCATTCTTTTGGACTTTCAATGTCGCCTTTCCACTTTCATCCAGTGCATCTTCCATAAAGGTGCCGGGGCCTATGAGTGAAGAGAGTAGATGAGCCGTAGTACGCGATGTAAAGATAGCTGGAATAGTGACATTTGATGTGTCACCTCGAGCATACATCTGAATTAGTGGTCCGCCACTTTTGTCATCACCAACAATCAGAGCAATACCACCCCTACGCTGTACCCATTTCACTTTTTCCAAAAATCCACAGCCTCCACGACTCAATAGTACAACCTTGCCAGCTATTTCCGCACCTTCCTGTATAGATTGAATATCTGCATGATTTGCCTTGAGATCTTTGGGTTGCTGGTCCATATGTTTTGATACTGCTGATCCAGATAGTGGGTGGTGAAGGTAATCGTCGGTACCATCATCAGCCGAAGGCTCTCCAGCATTATGTTTGCCTTTTAAAAAACTACTCGACGTGCCATCGATGAAGGCTTTATCGTCATCATTTGCCCTTTTATTTGTTTTCGATTTGCTTGCAGTCGTCGCAGATTTATCGTCTCCAGATTTGGCTCCTTCTGCCGCGCCAGACTTTGCAAAATTATCGACCCAACCTGGCACATCACTACATCCTAATTCGCCTTCAGCCCCAGAGGCAACAGGACCTTGTCGTATGCTATCATCCCCAAATCCACTTCCTATCCATAACTGACCCTTTAATCCTTCGTTGGGAAGTAAAGGTCCAAAGGCAGCAGGCCTTGCTAGGAAAGCAGTCGTGTTATCATTCGTAAGAGTTATAATCGCATTGGGAGGGAAGAGCGAAAATGGAGTTCGGAAGGAGAATAACGATTGTATTCCGGATTTTGGAGTAGTGGCAGTAGCAGATACATTCTGCGGTGAATGAGAGGACCGCAGAGATAAAAATGTGAGAAAGAAAGTAGTAAGGAGAAAAGCAGCAATGATCACGATTCTTGGAGGTCGCATGATGGGTATCGTAATATTTTTGAATTTCAAAAGCTTAAATAACTCGAAAGCGCCGACATACAACACCTTCAGCTCTTCAGCTGGATCTTGGACAAGCTTGATCGCATCCGACTTGACGGAAAAGGACCTGTGTAAAATACTTTTGCTGCAAAAGACTAACAAAACAAAATTGTTGCTGGGAAGGGGGCAAAACAAAGTTGGAGGTGGTGAAAGTTGTCGTGGGTTGGGATACCAGCAGCGGAATTGAGCCACAAGAAAGTTGGTAGGCGAGCGGGATGAATCAGTAAGGTTGTCTGTGACGATCACGCATTTTTAGTTCACGCAGGGCAGGGAGGGGAGGGGGTCTGTGGCTCAGGAATTCACGAGGTACGGTCCACGGGTATTACAATACGAACGACAAGCTAGGCAACAAAGAGAGAGAATGATATGGCGAGTTATAATTCTCTATTTATTCATTTATGTAAATCAATCGTTTTTGATATAACATATTATTATTTTGTTGTTATTATAAATTGAATATATTATCAGTATATACCTACCTAGTATCTAGGTATATATATATATATGTATATATCTGTGCTACCCCCTCCACCACTCTGACCCTCTAATCGCTATTGCTTATCATGCTACTCGACGACTCCTACTCTCCAACTCCTACTCTCCAACTCCTACTCTCCAACTCCAACTCCACGACTCAACTCAACAACTCGTACTTGCGACGGATATTCATTCGTACTCTCTTGCCAGCAAAGCAAGAGCCATGCCAACACAAAGAGGTGCAGCAAAGGTATGAAAACGACTCCGCACATGCACATACATCCCTAACCATCTTCGAATTCTTTGTTACACACACTGAAATGGAGTAACAAGGATGAACATCAATGAGCTCACCGGTACCAGTGAACATCGATACCCGCAACTGGGTGTCTCATTGAAATTAATGGCATCCATGTATGTCATCGATGTACCACCGGGTTAATCAAATCAACTTGATCGAAAGAGGAAATTCGTGTGGCTGTGTTCACACGATTATTACCCACTCGAGCCACCCACCGAGCCACCCACCGAGCCACCCACCGAGCCACCCACCGAGCCACCTACCGAGCCACCCCGGTACCTACCTACCGTGAATGAATTTATCGAATATTATTACAGAAAAGGAGTTTGAAGTCTACGGAGTACCTGCGCAAATTTCTAGTAGGTCGTTCATATATCTTCACATAATACACGATGTCTGGAATATCACACTCAAAGTTATTGCTATTGCCTACGTACCCACACATGCTTCTTTCTCGCTTCTATGTACCCTCAGTTCGGTCTTACCAATCAATACTTCTACATCGTTTGCGGAAGTCACTCCGAACACTTGTTGTCGAATCCTTTGAAAATTGGCCAATATCTTCCATTCCTGAATGAAGGAGATTAATGGATTCTAAAGAATGAACCCCTTTTCATTGAAAGATATACTGTGCCTTTCATGTTAGGCATTTACATTCTCTGCTTTCCAGACAGGCACTCGACAAAATTTCCAAGCCTACTTTCAATATGTCTCTGTCGTCTCCTAACCAGACTACGAGGAGAATTTTACAAGATGTTTCATTTACTGCCAACGGATTTCTCCAATCTTCCCAGATCGCAAACAGGATATTGTTTTCTCTGTATTACACACAATCTAATCGCGCGTCCTTTGGTATGTTATTAGATACATGTTGATTCGATCAACTCGTCAACTGGGCTACATTATCAAGACAATCAAGTTCATCTGCAGCAGCAACTCGTTAGCTCTGGCAGCACTTCAAAGTCAAGGCTTCAAATACCCAAGTACAGCTTTAAATTTTGATGTGGAATTCTCCCTCACAACCATTCATCGACGTGGCACTCATTACTCGGTAGTTCTAAGCAATTGTTTTCGCCACATCAAGCCCCCATCCGTGCTCGACCCTTCACTGCTCCAAAAGTCCTATATGGAAAGTTTAGACGCATCGTGAGCCGTTGAAATATCTCATCGTATCTTTCCAATGCTTTTTGTAGGGTTTCCGTTCCGTTTGTGAAGTCTGTCAGACATTCAATACCTGTTTCAATGACCTAGATTATTTGAGCCATCACTTGGCTTGACATAAACCTAGCTTTCTTCAAGTCGCAATCGTCTAGCTACGTCCATCTTAACATATCAAATTGCAAGTTTTGCCTTTGGGTGAGGACGACGTCTGCCACAATGTCATAATTTATCATCATCTTCCCGCAGTGCATATATCCCGCTGTGGCTTGATCTCCTTCCCGTCTTTAACGAACGATTGTCTTACGGTACAAAGGAGTAAAATCTGCAAACTACCCTTTTTATGCTATGAAGTCCCCGACTTCGTATGTCTGACGTATATGTTATTCTGGGCTGGGGGGGGGGAGAGTTATCCATTCGAAACCTGTTATGCTGTTGCTTTGTAGTTCGAGATCTGGAGCTCTCCCTCGGCGGTGCGGGGTTTTCTTTATTTCAAGTCGACCCCTCGGCTCTCTTTGTACATTACATTCCTCTTTCGTTGCTCATTACATTTACTTGTATGAGCATAAGGACTCAATTATTATTTTAATTCCCATTCTATACCCATTTGCATTGCCGTTCTTCATTCAATTCGTCGTCGACTCAACTAGTCATCATGAATATCAATGAGCCTCGAGATGGCGGTGGTTTCGTACTACCATTTTTCAACGACAGCAAAAGGTCGCGAAAGCCTCATGCCGGCAGAGATTCATTGAAGTCAAATCGAATTCCTCTCGTTAATTGGATACCAGATACAGTCAGTTACACAACAAAACCGCTCAAAAACGCTCATAAATGGCTTCACTTACACAATAAGACCCGAAATCATTTCGTGGCAACAATGGCAGAGTTCGCGGGAACGACCCTCTTTCTCTTATTTGCTTTCTCAGGCACCCAAGTAGCTCTGTTAGCATCGCCGGCCAATAGCTCGAACGTCGTCGGAACACCAAGCAATCCAGCTCAACTTCTTTATATATCTTTATGTTTTGGTTTCTCTCTAGCAGTTAATGCATGGGTTTTCTTCCGTATAAGCGGTGGCCTTTTTAACCCTGCGGTAAGAATCTTCACTCTGTTTCTTCCCATCCTCAATGACTCCCAGGGAATGGCATTAATAAAATATAGGTCACAATGGCATGTGTCTTGTCGGAGCTCTCCCATATTTGCGGGGTCTTCTTTTAATCTTTGCTCAAATACTCGGTGGCATAGCAGCAGCTGCTATTGTTTCTGCTCTTTTTCCTGGTCCCATAACCTTCACCACTAGTTTAGGAGGCGGCACATCGATTGTTCGAGGTCTCTTTATCGAGATGTTCCTTACTGCTGAATTAGTTTTTACGATCTTTATGCTTGCAGCTGAGAAACATAAAGGGACCTTTATTGCACCGATTGGTATAGGTCTTGCTCTATTCATTGCTGAACTTACCGGTATGTACTTTAATTCAATTCAAACATTCTGACACGCAGCCCTCGTCTCAACAAACAACTAACCATACCCCAGGCGTCTACTTCACTGGCGGATCCGTCAATCCTGCCCGTTCCTTCGGCCCTTCAGTCGTCAGCGGTCAATTCAGCGGTTACCATTGGATCTACTGGGTCGGACCTATTCTCGGCGCCATCCTCGCATCTGGCTTCTACAAATTCATCAAGATGCTCGAATACGAAACTGCAAACCCAGGTCAAGACGCAGGACGCGTTGGCGAAGTGTTTGACCCAGAAGCTCAAGCTATCAAAAATCGAGTCAGTTTCGCGAGTGAGGGGATGGTGGGTAGAGAACTTGATGAAAGTGGTGCATTTCAGGTTCATGGAAACGGAAATCATTTCAAGGCGCCACAAGAATATGGGACTAAGAGAAGACCGTTTAGTGATAGTCCTGCCCCACCTAATCCGAATGATCAATTTGCGGGGTTGAGTGAAGGGGGGATGCATGCGGATGAATTTGCTAATGGGAATGGTGTTGGTATTCATGGTGGGGAGGGATCAGTGCATAGGAATAAGAGAGATAGTGAAGGAACCCTTGTGGAAAATGGAAAGAAAGGCGTTTTGAAGGCTGGTACGGGTGCTGCGTCTGTGGGAGGTACGAATGGTAATTTGAGAGATAATACGCAGAATAATCAGAGGATTGGTCAGGAGACGGGAGCGCACGGTGAGGAGTTTTATGATAAATGAGGGGGTTGCGAGTGCAGCGTGCGAAGTGCGGTGAAATTGGTAGTTGAATGGCATGGTATGGTATGGTATGATATGGTATGGATGGGGCTTATGCGGGTGTTTCATTACATATATGTTGTAGGTTGATTATAGGGGTGTGTTATTATGTCGGCAATATATCTTGTTGATGTCTTATTTTGCAACGTTTTGGATAACATGTATTCCGTTACTGATGATTATAATGACTTTCTTTACCCTCACAATCTTTGATAAGGTTGACTTACAGTTCCAAGTAGTATGGGCAAAAATGAGTCGAATAGTTGCTAGTATACAAGTATTATGTCCTTATATATTCAAGTTGTATGTATACCCGTGGACGTGCTTGATAATATTTATAGTTTTTATTATAGTAGATAGATACTCTTATGATAGGTATTTTTCCCTCGGGTGTAATGACATATGTATGAATCTCTCTCTCTCTCTCTATTTCAACGAGTTTGAGTAAGAGTAAGATAAATTATCTAGATAGATAGATAGTTCTTGATTATATATTCCTCGTATCTTACGATGTGTATTTATATATGGATAATATTTACTAGTAAGTGAGTATATAAATCGACTCGATACTTTCTAACTTTTCTATAATTGATAATAATCAAGAACGAATACAATTACAAGAGACTTAAGTAAGTACTTTATACTTATCAATCAAGTTGATACTAATAATAAATTACAAAGATTTCATATCAAGAGAAAATGCAATAGTATGATGGAATTACATATTATTGGTTAAAAATCAGGCTTCTCTAAGATTTCCTACTATACAGTTGCTATCTTCCAACGATATCCCCAAGCTCAGCAATGTGTCTAGAATATTCCTCTATCTGGACTCCAGTCTTTCCCCTTAGACGTGCCATTATTCGTCGTGCTTCTTCCCGTGCTTCCTCCGCGGTGTAGTCCCGCTCAAGCTGTCTCTGAATTCTTTCGCTCTCGCTTCATTCTCGCTGACATCTCCGTGGTGTGTTCCCGCTCAAGTTGTTCCTTGGTTCTATCATTCTCGCTATTTACTCGCTGTTTTGCATCTTGTGTTGGTCTTCTGCGTTCGTCCTCCTTGGCATGCTCTAATCGTCTTGCATTTTCTATTTGTTTTGCAAAATCTGTCTGGCTTAAATGTCTTGCCTGGCTTGATTGTCCGGTCTGGCTCGAATGTTTTGCCTGACTTGAATGTCTTGCCTGGCTTGATTGTCCGATCTGGCTTGATTGTCTTGCCCGGCTTCTATAGCCCTCTTCCCTTCTTCCACCACTCTCTTCCAAATCAAGTAACTCACATACATATCTTCTAGCTATAATCTGGCTCGGAGATTCTTTAGGTGCGCTGGGTTGCATCCTTGTAGGTGCATTTGGGTTTTAAGTTCTTCCTGTCTTGCGCGTGCAGGCATCCCCAGATTCGTGCGTCTCGGTCCTTGTCCTTCCCAGAATTTCTCAACTTGTTTTCTTCGCTCCTTTTCTGCTTCCTCTAGCCTTTTTTTGTGAGACTTCACTGGCCAGCCCTGTGTCGCCTTCTTCCAGCAATCGATACATGGACGTCGCATGTTTTCGGCAATCCGAGCCGGGTCCCCTTCAGTGAAAGTTATCCACTTGTACTCCTCGCAATGTGCTACTTTCTTCTCCTTGGCAGTATCGCAAACAGATAGACCCATGTATCTCGTACTCTCATTTCCCATCCAACGTACATGTGCCAGTCGCTGCATCTACAACCGAGTAATTCTTGACACACATCTAGATTCGTCAGTTACTGGGTGGACTATTGGTAAAATCATTACTTACGATGTGATGTATATCACTGGACACTAAACGAAGAATTAAACTCGATAATCGCTGATATTTCTGTGTGTAATGATTGTCAGCTCACTATATGCACCAAAAGCCACAACGTAGTACACACCGAAGTTTATTCTAGATAGAACAGAATACTCACTTAGGATCAAGCACTCGATGAAAAGTACAACAAGGTACGGAGTTTGGTTTGGAGAATCGAAAGTGTGATATTTGGATAGCTATACAGTATAAGCTTATTGTGTGGACTCCAAAATCCAGATTCCCGGTACCCACCTGAAGTGTTCTGAACAATATGTGTTGTTTGAGGATTGTATGTTTGAATGCTTAAGGTATTTGGATTGTTGAGAAGGTTGAAGAGCTGGAACCGATAGAGAGAGAAAGGGCGAGGCATAAGTATGAGTTGCATAGTCAAGTAGCGACAATTCAATAGTTGAGTGGGAGTCTTACTCAAATGATGGAAAATGAAGAGATTATTCATATACATATTTGACTAACGGGAGAAATGCCCTACTCATCATTCCACATTTCTAATATACAGTCACCCCCCTTCTTATGAATCAATATATCTGACTATTATATATCTTTTCACTTGGAATTTGAAGGGCTCAGGGGGTAAGCCATATCTAGCCATCACAATTGTTGGCTTGCATTTTCCAGTCTAACAGTGATATCACATTGGCAAAAAAAGAGCAAGTTGTTATGAATATGTCATATTTTCTAAAGTCAGGCTATCTAATATTTTCAAGCATCAAATGCTTGTTTTTTCATATGTGGAATACTACTATCTTACACGTACACCTATTTTAAATCCCTCCTCTATTCATTTACAGTCCTCGCGACTCTGCTGCGCATCAGCAATATTTGTCCTGAGTTCTTCCAGATGTACTCTGAGATTCTCCACGCATCCTTGACAGACCTGATTGATTCTTTCGATTTCACGATAATATCTGTTGGTAAGATGCCGGTGGTATCGACATCGTCACAGAAATAATCTTCGCCCCAAATCGCGGCGGCAGTGCATTGCTTCTTACGATCGGTTGGGAAAATGGCCGGCTGTTGGTTAGCGGCGTGTCCCGGCCAACAGGTACCAATTTCATAAATCCAATTACACATCTAGCGTGTATTGTAATTAGCTATCGTCGGTCACTACATGTTATCCATGAAAGGAGAAAGCCACTTACGATGTATATTTTGATAGACAAAGCAATAGAATTCGAGATCGTAGATCAGATACTTACTACAGTGTATGTTAGCTTGTGATATGCCAGTATCAGAGCTCAATACATACAAGTATGCTGGATTAAGTAGAACAGAGTGTTCGCGTGATGTGGAGTGATGGAGTAATGTCGAAGGTGTTTGTGCAACGTCAAGACCGTTCTGAAATTGCGGACTGTAGAATCAGAGTATTTGGAAAGTTTAGAGTGCTGACGTAGAGAAGAGGGGTCGAATAGGATAGATCGTTGTTGTAAAACTAGATTGAGGGACAGAGTATCGACGTAGAATAGATAGTATTGAGTTATGAATTCGAGAAAGAGCTGGGTCGAGTACCTTCAGGGTTGATTTCGCTAGCGAATGTATCTCTTTTTGTCCAAATTATGTTCTGTTGTATGAAGAGAAAGTGTTGTGTAGAGAAAAAAGAGAAAAAAAACCCCCCAACTCGAGGAACCTCGAGCCTTAAGAGCAAATTGGAGAGGCAGATTCTGCGCTAAATTCTGCAATTATCAATGGTTTTATGACTGGAAATATCATTTGAAGCATGATTCATATGCCAAAAGAATATGAATATGCATCTACATTGGTATGAATCCTATTTCGAGTCACTGAGAGGGAGGGAGCTTTTGACTAATCTTACCATCTGAGGTGATTCATACGTGGAAATTCATATGGTATGACACTTCAAGCAGCAAGAAACAGTCACTTCGAGCCATACAGACGGATTTTCAATATGAATATCTGAAGGTTCATTTGTGAAGCGTAAAAATGTGGTGAGACAAATTCATATTTTCTAAAAGTCAGGCTATCTATTATTTCCATGCGTCAAACGCCACTATTCCCATCCGTGAAATCCTTCTATCCTATACGCATACATATCCTCAAATCCGCTCTCGGTCCGAACTCACTCTCTATTCCGTCAATGCTTTGATATTCTCCTCGGCTGTCTGTCCCAACTTTCCGAAATTCAATATGGCCCGTTCCTTTACTGCTTCGTCCTCATTTTCGCAGAATCTGCAATTCATAGGGATAGTCCGGAGTTCCCCTCGCTCTGCATCTGTTGGTTCTCTTTTATTGAAACAAGAGTCCCCTCGACCCGCGGCAGCTAATTCATCACATTGCGTATAGCCCCACTTGAATATACCTTGAAATGTTTCACCTTGGTGCCTAGGGGTGCAAGTAAATTTGACATAATTATGATAACACATCTAAGTTCGTTGATGTTAGTTGCTCTTCGTTCTTGACTGCCTGTAGGCGAGAGAGCCACGTACGATGAAATATGTATCGCTGAATGTTGAAACAAGTAAGTACACCTTGTAGCGGCAATTCTAGACTTGTTGCTAGATCAGATATCAGCTTGTGGTATTCTATTCTCAAACTCGATACGTACCAAGGGTTGATAATCAAAAAAGAACCAAGTGTTCGCTTAATGTAAAGTGTTGAAACAGAGCAGAAGGCAGACTCGCGAAGGATGTGTAGAGAGATTCGATGCAGGAGTTTGTTGAGAAAGGGTATTGACACAAGATAGAGAACCGAGAATAATGCGTTTTTGGTGTAGAGTAGATTATTGATGTAATTTGGTTGTTGAAACGAGATCCAGAGTTGTCAGAGTATACGTTATAGAGGCAGGAGGGTAGACCAGAGTTCTTGAGATTTGGCAGCGGAGAGATGTCCGGTGCTATCGAGAAGATATACTGTGTGAAGAAGAAAGGTTCTGGAAAAGGGGGGATTCTTGAGCCTCTTATGCACTTGGAAATAGCAAAACGTATGATTGAATATAGCATTTTCGGTCATAGAGAGGGTTTTGTGAGTACCTAGTATATACACACTTGATTTATGATTCATGTGTCAAAATGAGTGTGAGAGAACACTGTGATGGGATCAGTCATCGAGAATGAATTTATGAGTGAAATTCTCACTTGAAGTGCTGCTGATGCGTCAAGCTGGGCATGGAACAATGATTCCAGTCACTAAGCAGGAATTATGAGCATAATTTATGTAGGTATCAAAAGCATACGAAATGACACTTCCGCCGATATAGCCACCATTCTCAGTCATCGACAGGAACTTTATGGATAATGCTACTACTGAAAGACTTGATAGTACGTCAAAATAGGTACGCAATGATATTCCACGGATATGAAGGCTATCTCCAGTCACCCAACTATCAAAATGGGTATGAAATGACTGTTACATCCAAGCTTAAATGACTATTTAAAGAATCATTTACATGCCAAAATGAATATAAATGACTGTAGAAAGATGAATTATTACCTACCTTTGCGAAGAGGAAGTTCGAGTAACGACTATTCAAAGCACTATTTGTGCATCAGAATGCGACTTTCGCATTCATTACAAAGAATCACATCACACCATAAAGGAAATATCATCATGACTTTCCTTCTGACTCCTACAGCTCTTCTCCTCTGCCATCCTTTTTTGCCCGGAAGAAAAAACTCCCCTGATACAAGCACGGAAATCCATTCCATCTCGAAGCCCACCACGCAGTGCAGACAAAGAAGTATATAATAACCCCTAATAACTAGCTGTAGTTATGAACATCCAAAATGGATATATAGACGAGCTACTACATAGTCTTATGAGAAAACGAGCAATATTCTAAACTTATGCATCTGAGCGGACCAAGTCAAAAGTTCTCGGATGCCTAATCTGGAAACTTCCAAAAGATGCTTTGCAACTTCTTTGCCCTCTTTGCCCTCTTCGCGTCTCTTAAATCTTTTATACACTGCTTTCATCACATGAGAATGGAATAGTGAAAACTTCTTTTTGATTGGTCGTTATTTGCATATTAGAACCTATTATTGCTCTATTATGCGCCTACAATGCAAACAAATCTATAAACCAATACCTAGTATTTTGGCTTAATTAGAATACCTTTGAATGCTTTTAATATCCCCTTTGATATGAAACCTTTTTACATAACCTCGACCTGGTTCTCATCACTCTCACTCATGCTCTCATCTCCGCTAACTTCGGCGTTTTCACGTTCTCTCTTCTCCATGAGTGCTTGCAATTCAGCATCATCGTTCTCAGTAACCGCCTTGGGTTCCATCTTGACGATCAATCCACCTCCTGCGGCTTCGATGTTCTTTCTGATGTCCACGATTGCGGCTTCCAAAGTCGAGATACCGACGGATTTTTCCAGACATGTACTTGTGAGAACGTAGAGTGGTGGGGATACGAGCTTGACTTTAACTTGGTTATCGGCGGTGTTTCTGGCTTCAGCAGTTCTTAAAGCGGTCTTAACGGCATCAATTCCCTCATATCCAAAGCAGGTAACTTCGACATCGGCACGGACTTTTGTTGGTTGTGGTGTAAGACGTTTTCCAATATATGATTTTAATTCCTCGGCGACAACATCGTTAGGGAATTCGACATCATTCCAAGTTTCGGCGTTTCTGTTTTGACGTCAGTACTACATATATAAAATCCAGGTGGCTCGGAGTTTCCATACGTTATCGAGAGCTTGAAAGCATCAACAGCATGCCCGTATTTCTTGTTCAATGGCCAAACAATTTTCTCGTACAACTCCTCGATAGGATGCTTTGTCTTTTCGGCAACGTGGCGCATAATCGAATGAACCATTTTACCCTTATTGTATCGTTCCTCGCATCTTACAATATCTTCAGGTGACACTCTTCGTTTGGAAAGATCGATATAACCTGCAATTGACCAGATCAGCCTTCCGCCACAAAATAACATTCAACAATTTTCTGCATACCCTTCTCCTTGTCGACTCTGAGAACAACGACAACCTCATTACGTCCAACACGAATAAGTTTTTGGATACTTCTAATACGACGTCTAGATAATTCGGAGAGGAGAATCATGCCATCGATGTTATCGTATTCGAGGAGCTTGACATAAGCACCCATTTCTGCGATCTGCGAAGCTGGAGATTAGCATTTACCCTATCCCTTCGAGTGCGCCTCTGATTCCATACCTGCTTGACATTCACCATGACGAAGCTATCGATCTCGGGGTATTTTTCTTCATAGAAACGGCAGTTTGTGAGAGACATGATTGCGATTGTTGCGCGGCTGAGCGCGAGGTGAAAATTTGAAGGATTTTGTTTGGCTTCGTCGCCGAATATGAGAAGCTTCTTTAGATGTCAGATCCGATGTTGTGAATTATGTAGATATTGTTATTCTTTGTACAAATTCAAATTCGTGATAGATTTCTCCCCAAGTTGACAAGGCTCTAAGGTTGAAAGAGTCACAATCTTTCGGTCGGGGATTTGGAGAGGGGCCGGTGGTGGTGGGATGGTCTCGCTAAGTAAAAAAAAGAGTTGGACACTTTTGATTGGTGCGATGACGTCTAAGTATCGAATGTCTTACATAACCTTGTTGGATTTACCTGAAGCTTCATGAATTTGTTCCCTGTCACTCGATTGTCTATGTGTGATCTGATCGATTGATTGTTTTTCCATAACAACAACTATTGGCCGTATCAAACTATGGAATCTTTATCGATATGCCAAAGTGGAGTATTTATGAATAGCAGCCGATTCTGCTAGATAATTTACAATCTTCTCATCCGGAATCATGTCTTCTGAAACTCTTCCCTCCCTTGTGGGAAGCTCTGTGAGCTCCATGGACTCGACAATAGCTTCAGCCATGGCATCAGTTACTGGTATACCAACAAACCAAACAGATGTTGCAGTGGCAGGATCAACATTTGGAGTCTTTGGAAAAATGATCATGTTCTTCATCAGAGTGATTCCTGGAATTCTGTACTGGGTTATAACTTTCACGACAATTACAATGCCGACTTTCCTCTTTACGCTGTTCTCAACTAGCTTGACGTTTACCATGAATGCCACTACTTTGTATGTGCCACTCGATTTACTATACTGTGTTTGCTAACTGCTTGTTTTAGAATGTTGATCATAGTAGCATTTATGTCAACCATGAGTTGGTTCGTAAGATATCGATTTCTCAATATGTATTCTCGATTACCTCCGGAACCTCAGCGAAAGGAGCCCCAGATAGACCTCTATCCAGACACGCAAGATGAAGGATCAAAGTCAGGGTTTTCCAATTACCTGGATGAGTTTCTGAGCGCCATCAAGATCTTTGGTTATTTGGAACGCCCAGTCTTCCACGAACTCACACGCTCCATGCAAACGAGAAAGCTCATAGCTGGTGAAACCTTGAACCTTGAGGAGGAGAAGGGATTCTGTCTAGTGGTTGATGGATTAGTGGAAATCTTTGTCAAGTCGGCTCGAGAGGGACGTGGATCGGATACCGATCCTATGTCGTACGAACGAGAAGATTCAGATAGTGGATCTGGCCTTCACCGAGGTAGTGGGCATCAGGGCTACCAGTTATTAAATGAGGTTAGAAATGGTGCGCCTATGTCGTCTCTCTTTTCTATACTTTCACTTTTTACAGAAGATGTCAAATTGAGACATTCTGATGATGACGACTTCGATGGAAATGGTACTCCTGATCATCAGGAATATAGCCACGATGCTCCTCCATCACTTCCCACAAGTCCAATATACGGGGCTCCTAGTCAGGATGGCCAAAGAGATGATAGGAATCGTCGTGCTTCTTCGACAACCGTTAATGGAAGAATACCCCCATTGTCATTAGACGCTGCAGCCGACATTTACCCACGTCGACCTAGGCCTAAGAGATTAAATACAACTTCTGTGCACCCTGATATTGTGGCCAGAGCTACAGTTGATACCACTATTGCTATAATTCCTGCTAGCGCTTTTCGTCGATTAACCAGAGTATACCCTAAAGCTACAGCACATATCGTTCAGGTCATTTTGACGAGATTGCAAAGAGTCACTCTTGCGACTGGTCACTCTTATCTTGGTTTAACTAGTGAGGTTCTGCGCACTGAAAAGCACATGAATAAGTACACAACCTATGAACTACCAAATTTCCTCCGAGGCGATGCATTGAAGCGGTTGAAGGAGAAGTTTATAAGAGAAAAGGAGAGAATTGGAGCTGAAGAAGGTAGCAAAGGTATTGCTTTGCATAACGCTGGGGCTGGAAGACGGCGAAGATCTAGTCATAGCCTTAGAAAAGAGGCTACAATGCATGCTTCGTCAGTCAGAGGGTCCATGTCGATGTCCAAACAGACGTTTGAAACACCTGGTGGAGAGTCTGCCGTCAGTCCAAGCCCCGGAGATCTTCTTACAAATATTCAGATGTCACGTCATGCTGGTAGGAAACCTGCTTCAAGCGTAACTCAAGGTTCTAATCCTCAAGTATGGCATCATGATGCTCAAAGTCCGCTTTCTCAACGAACATCAAACCCGTTCAATGGCCCAATGAATGCACGAGTTCCTCTTCACCGTCAAGAATCCATTGATGAAGATGGCATGTTCAGAAAATCCATATTGGAGTGTATTTTCAAAGCTATTGGTCTTACAAACACTAAAAATGCCCTACGTATGTCAGATTCTGTCGAAGGCTCCCCTCGATTGCTTTCGTATGATCAAAGACGTCAGAAGGCAATTTTCGGCAGCAACTCTTTTACTAGCAATGCCTTCGGCCTTATTGACCCCTACGAAGGTTCTGTAGATGACACCGAATCAGTGACATCTGGTGGAGTTAGTGCTGGTGGCTATCCAAGTACGCAAGGCCTCGCCCAAGAGCTCAAGGATGAAGTCGAGATTGTTTACTTTCCAAAAGGCTCAGTCCTTGTGGAACAAGGAGAAAGAAATCCCGGACTTTATTACGTTATCGATGGGTTTCTAGACGTTAGTGTTCCTGTTGACGAGAAGTCAGACTCTATGGTCTTGGGCAGCTCTTTCCGACACTCTTCGGCCGACAAGAATGCAAATGATCCAATGCCTTCTCTATCTAGGACCAAGACTGGTTCATCGCGTGTCTCAGGAATTAATGCTTCAGGGCACGAGGGTAAAAACCGAAAATCCGCAGATCGAAAAAGTCTAGCGCTTATCAAGCCAGGCGGTATTGCAGGCTACATCGGTACCATATCTTCTTATCGCTCGTTCATTGATGTTGTCGCAAAAACAGATGTTTACGTAGGATTTTTACCACGAACTTCATTGGAAAGAATCGTCGAGAAGTATCCAGTTGTGCTTCTAACTATGGCTAAACGGCTTACCAGCCTATTGCCCAGATTGATCCTACATATTGACTTTGCACTTGAATGGGTGCAAGTGAACGCTGGACAAGTTATCTACCATCAAGGAGATGACAGCGATGCAATTTATATTGTTCTGAATGGCCGACTTCGACTTGTAGTCAATAATGATGAAGCTGGAATGAAAGTCATTGGCGAGTATGGACAAGGCGAAAGTGTTGGAGAACTGGAGGTTATGACAGAATCCGTAAGACCCGCTACACTTCATGCGATTCGAGATACCGAACTTGCCAAATTTCCCAAGACACTGTTCAATAGTCTTGCGCAAGAACATCCAGGTATCACGATCAAGATTTCCAAGATTATCGCATCCCGTATGCGAGCCTTGGTAGAAGAGCCAGTCTTCGTGCAAACTAAAGAGAAAGTCACCGGTGCCACAAATGATAAGGTATCTTCGACGGTCAATCTTCGCACTGTTGCTGTACTTCCCGTCACTGCTGGAGTTCCTGTGGTCGAATTTGGCAGTCGTCTAATGAATGCTTTGACTCAAATCGGGGCACCGAATGGTGTAACTTCTCTCAACCAAGCTGCTATTCTTAATCATCTTGGTAGACATGCTTTCAGTCGTATGGGGAAGCTTAAACTCTCAGAATACCTTGCTGATCTTGAGGAGAAGTATGGGTTGGTTTTGTATATTGCCGGTCAGTGACACCTTTTCTCTAAACGCTAAAATTCATACACATCCCCGCCTGAGATCATCACTAACACTTTTTTCTAGATACAAACGTGAACTCGCCTTGGACCCAAACTTGCATCAGCCAAGCTGATTGTATTCTCCTAATAGGTATAGCAGATGGTTCGCCTGCGATTGGAGAGTACGAACGATTCTTATTAGGAATGAAAACTACCGCAAGAAAAGAATTGGTATTATTGCACACAGACCGCTTCTCCTCGCCTGGTGTGACTCGAGCTTGGCTTAGAAATCGAGTCTGGATCAATGGTGGACATCATCATGTTCAGATGGACTTTAGAACTAGTCCTATTCCTGTGCATCCTCAAACAAGGAAATTTGGAACCGCATTGAAACAGCGAGTACAAGTGATTCAAGCAGAAATTCAGAAGTACACATCTCGTCGCGTACGGCAGTCACCACTCTACTCCGCAGAAACTCCCTTCAAAGGCGACTTTCATCGAATTGCTAGACGCCTTTGTGGCAAATCTATAGGTCTTGTGCTTGGAGGAGGTGGTGCACGCGGTATAGCCCAGGTTGGAATAATCAGAGCTATGGAAGAATCTGGAATTCCCATCGATATCATTGGAGGAACCTCTATTGGATCCTTCATCGGTGCATTATACGCTCGCGACGCAGACGTTGTTCCAATGTATGGACGCGCGAAGAAATTCTCAGGTCGCATGGCAAGTATGTGGCGCTTTGCATTGGACTTGACATATCCATCTGCTTCTTACACCACTGGTCATGAGTTTAATCGTGGTATCTTCAAGACTTTTGGCAATACTCAGATTGAAGATTTCTGGCTCGAGTTTTACTGCAATACAACTAATATCAGTAAGAGTCGATCAGAAATTCACACCAGTGGATACGCATGGAGATACGTAAGAGCATCCATGTCTCTTGCTGGACTTCTCCCGCCACTATGTGATGAAGGCAGTATGTTGTTAGATGGTGGATACGTGGACAACCTAACAGTTTCTCATATGAAATCCTTGGGGGCTGACATCATCTTTGCTATTGATGTTGGCAGTCTTGATGATAACATGCCACAGAATTTTGGCGACTCCCTCTCTGGATTCTGGGCATTCGCGAATCGTTGGAATCCATTCTCATCATACCCAAACCCTCCTACTCTGGCTGAGATCCAAGCACGCCTAGCATATGTATCCAGCGTCGACGCCCTAGAACGAGCAAAGACAACTCCAGGATGTCTATATATGAGACCTCCAATTGACGATTATGGAACTCTAGATTTTGGTAAATTTGATGAAATTTATCAGGTGGGATACAAATTTGGACAAGAGTATCTGGCGAAAATGAGAGATCAGGGAATTCTTCCGCTTGTTGATGAGACCGAGGAGAAGAAGGCCTTGAGGAGAACTATGGCACCGAGAAGAGCTAGTATTTAGTTCATGATTCTGTATGAGGTTTGGTGTGGCACTCGTTGCGGTCGTTGCAGCGAAGTTTTGCAGGGCGTTTTGGTGTAGGTCATTGATGGCAATGACGATGATGGTGATATACCCAAGCATATATTGGTATGGGAAATGATCTGTTCATAAGATTTGCATCTATGAGAGAATATTATTCAAATATTTAACCATTAACTTGAGGTAATACTTACAAATCTGATCTTGATATTGTTGTGATTGCAGATGTCTATTGTGAATGTGATTGATAGGTAAGGATAAGTAACTACCCAGGTGGCTATACAAAGTGGGCTACCTATTCACGACAATTATTAATGAGCCTCCAAATTCACTAGAGAATAACGATATCTACCTAGGTACATAGAGTTTATGGAGGCTGGGGGTCTAGGTCTGATCCCGTGAACCTGGGCGGTGGGATTTCAAGCTTAGAGCCGGCTTCCGATAGGCTGATTTTGGGTGTCGGAGACGGCCGAAATATTTATCATTGATGATCCACAGACAAACAAATCGTGAGAACAAACATTGAAGAGACACGACACCTTTATATAAGAGTTTGAATCCCCAGATTTCAATTCAAAAGACACTACTTATTTACTTGCTTGTTAGATTTGTCTACATTGGAAGTTTCATTTTGGTCTGAAAATTCTAGGATTGGAGTTTTGAATGAGGATTACAGATTTCAGATTTTACATCCTACAATTTAACATTAAGATAACCTTACAACTAACGCCTGATCACCTCAAACAAGACAAGTTCTCAGCGACATTTCAGAGAGTTACTCGCTGAGAATACATTGAGAGTTGCAATTCCAAAACCAGAGATAGCATGACCTCTACGCCCAGCATGACTTCCTCCTCGTCGTCACCACCAGAGAAATCATCCATCAAGAGACAGGTTTTTCATGGGACATTTGTCCACTGTAAAACCCTTACGGATTTAGAGATTCTACATGACACGTATGTGTTTGTGGATGAACATGGAGTTATTGTTAAGATTTTGAGTGGTGATGGTACTGGAAAGCTAAGGGATTTAAGAGAGGATGTAGGGGAATTGGGTTGGGATACGGATGTTGATGATGAAAGGGAGATTTTTGAATATGTGGGTTCTTCGAAAGATGAACATGGAGAACATGGAGAGGAACGATTTTTCTTTCCGGGGTTTATTGGTATGTTTTTATTTTGTTGTCTCTTTGTTGTTCATTTGTACGAGGAATGATATACAAACATCTGTTGTGAAAGAAAAGAAGAAAATCACGAACCCGATTAACAGATCATCAGATACACATATCCACGCCCCCCAATATCCCAATTCGGGTCTCTTCGGCTCCTCCACTCTTTTGGAATGGCTAGATACATACACCTTTCCCCTCGAAGCCTCTCTTTCTGCTCTCCCCAAAGCCCGCGCTATCTATTCTCGTGTAATCCAACGTACGCTCTCTCATGGAACAACCACCGCCGCCTATTACGCTACTATCCACGTCGAATCCACCAATCTCCTCGCCGATCTCTGTTTGCAAAAAGGCCAGAGAGCACTCGTCGGACGCTGTTGTATGGATAGCGATTCTGGCGCCAATCTAGACTACTACCGCGACGACGATGCTACTCAAAGTCTAGAGCGAACGAATAAATGCATCTCTCATTGTGAAAATATCGATCCCGATAGGAAACTCATCACGCCTATTTTGACTCCGCGCTTCGCACCAAGTTGTACCCCGCAATTGATGAGTTCTTTGGGGAAAATTGCACGGGAAAAGGATCTTCCGATTCAAACGCATATTTCGGAGAATCGCTCCGAGATACATTGGGTGAAGGAATTGTTCCGAGAGTGTGATAGTTATACGGATGTGTATGATAAATATTCGTGTTTAACATCGAAAACAATTTTAGCGCATGCGGTGCACATTGGAGAGGATGAAGCGGCGTTGATTAGAGCGAGAGGAAGCGGTATTGCACATTGTCCTGTGAGTAATAGCGCGTTGACTAGTGGGATGGCGAGGGTGCGATGGATGATAGATAGAGGATTGAATGTGGGACTGGGAACGGATGTTAGTGGAGGGTTTAGCGCGAGTGTGTTGGCGGCGGCAAGAGAAGCAAGTTGTGTGAGTCGGTGTGTTTCTGCTGGGATCGGAGGATTGGAAAACGGAATCGGAAAGGAAAGGGATACGTTGAGTGTGCCTGAAGTACTGTATTTGGCTACGAGAGGAGGGGCGAAGGTTGTGGGGATGGAGGAAAAGATTGGTGGGTTTGAAGTTGGGAAGGTGTGGGATGCGCAATTAATTGGGTTGGGAAAACCTCTTATGCATCGAAAGGAAGGCAAGTGGGAAGGACAAGAGGAAACTCATGAAGTAGATGTTTCGCAAACAGGACCAGTCGATATTTTTGGCTGGGAAAATTGGGATGAGAAAGTTGCAAAGTGGGTTTTCAATGGAGATGATCGGAATACCATGAAAGTTTGGGTGAATGGGAGGTTGGTTCATCAGAGGAGGAATTGATTTGTTTGTTGGATACAATGAGTGGAAAGACAATTAGAGCTTAGATGGAAATGGGTTTCGGCAATCGGTGGAAAACACATTTGGAATCACTATGGCAGATATTACTGTTATGATAGATCGAAAAGATACATTCAAGCCTGATCCTGCATCGACTTTTGATTATTGTATTTTGATAGGTATTGATTATTATATTATAATAAATGTCTGTATCTAACACTCAGTCGTACACCCATCCTGGGCACATAACACACTCCAATATATATTCCTATAGAGAAGTAGAGTATATAAATCCAACCCTTATTGGATTTCAATTCCAAACGCCTTCCCATCCATTTATCCCTAATATTTCCTCGTCCATATCCTCTATCCACCTAGACCTATTTCCCCACACCCTTCTCATCACTCCCAGAACCTCCTTACTCGCGCTCACACTCATCATTATCAACGCAGAAACTACACTCCACGCCCGCAACTGCAAGAACCAACTCACTCGCACGCTCTCCCGCCGCCATAACCGCAAACTGGGGATTCGTCGTCACCGGCGCCAAGATACTCGCATCAACCACATGTACATTTTGCATGCCCATAACCGTGGTGTTAGCATCGACACAGCCCCCCAGCCGACAACTCGACGACCAGTGATTAACCATTCCTCGTGCGTATGCTGAGGAAGTGGTGATGTACGTTTCGATTTCAGCTTCTGTGGCGGTTTGCGGGATGTTCATGGATGTGAGACCGGAGTTTGGGAGGGCGGAGAAGAGCGTGTGGATGAATGAGGCGATGTCCTGGGCATCGCGGGGATTGGAGTAGTAGACGTCGTCGCTGGGGCTGGGGATGAAGTTATCGTCTAGGATGACTTTACCTGATGAGAGGAGACCCGAGGTTCCGTAGACGTTGAGGGTGATGGTGTTGTTGGTGAAGTCGGAGTAGCCGGATGAATCGATGGTTCCTTGGAGACCTGCGATGGAGCCGTCGGCGTGCGCGATTGTGGTCCAGAAAACGGAGGTTTCGGATGCGAATGAGTAGGGACCGCTGCGGGAATCGAGATAGAGAGCTTTGTCGCCGGCTGGAGGGGAGTCATAGGAATAAGTATAGGACTCTATGGAATCACCTTGAAGTTCGATAAATGTGTTTGGGTTGTCGAAAAGACCGGCTCCAATTGCTGTGCTGTTTATCCACTCTGCACTGGTAAGATTTGGGGATAGTTTTCCTGCAGCGGAGAGTTTGGAGAGGGTTTCTGCATCACCGATTCCGGAGTACATAAGGAGAGAAGGGCTTTGAATGGCGCCAGCCGATAAAACTACTCTTCCTGTTGGTGTAGTTGAGACGATAGTTTCGACACCGTTTATCAAGGCTGTGACTCCAGTAGCGGTATCTCCATCGCGTTCAACTCTTACTACACGGACTCCGCTTTGGAGACGGAAGTTACTGCGTTGAAGGGCAGATTGCAGATATGTGGTAACGGGACCTCCTCTTTGACCGTTGTCATAATCGAAAATTGGATAGCCGAATACTTCAGTTTTATCGTCGGCTTGAGCATTGATATCAACGTCCTTGTAACCCAATCCATCAACCAACCATTTTCTCGCAGCATCGTATCCAGTTTGAAGGTAACGAATGCCATCCTGAGAAGTAAGATTGGTAGAAGGTTGAGTATCATACAGACGTTGAATGGAAGCATCCATGCTTGTCGAATTCCACTAGACACTGGGTTAACATATGAATACTTAGATTTTGGAAGAACAAGAATTCGTCACTTACTTCAGCAGGGAAGTATAAGTCCCAATCCGAAGCTGGAGGTTCAAAGAAAAGTCCAGCATTGATAGCTGAACTTCCTCCAATGGTACATCCTCCATAAGCATTTACCTCTGCTCCACACATGAGACCTCCTCCATCTGCAAAAATGGATTTATAAAGTCCAGGTACATCGACTCGGGAGAGATTTGTACCACTAAGCCATTCCTATTACAAATTAGAAAATTACTCGTCAATGTCAATTAAGAAGGTAGAAACTAACCGGTCTTCTTGCGTCTAAATCTCCACCTGTGATTCCATAAGATTGATTACCTCCTTCAAGTAACAAAGTCTTGAGACCTGCTTCCGAAAGTCGTGATGCAACTATAACATAAAAGTCAACAAATGGACTTTTATATCCCCTCAAGAACAAAAACTTCAATACATACCAACGATTCCCGCAGGTCCAGCTCCCACAATAATAGCATCCCATTGCTCCCGAATCCAAGCATTATCCGCCTGTCCCCAAACGCCACTCGCCAACCCAACAACCAGAGAAACTTGATATGAGACCTTCATTCTGACTTTGACTTATCTTTTTCGATTTACAGAAAACTCACTAAAGACATAAGAAAAACAGGAAGTAACTTAGCTTGATACTTATATATATTGACATCACACACAATTACACCAAACAAAACTTACTAACCACTGCATGACTTCACACAGCACAACCAAATCTCCCTCTTCACCTGGACTCTGGGCGCCAAGCCCGCCTGTTATCGATTAAATCCCCTAAACGATCTTTCCACAGGCATCACATCGAGGCGCTCCTCGGCCTCTACTGAATTGCCCCATCAGAGACGAGATTTAGATGCTAGAAGCTTGTAGAAGGCTGACCATGTACCCTTTAACTCTGCCTGAAACGATACACAATTACCGTATTGATGCCGTACAACTTACATAAGTAGTCCCAGTTGTTACACTTTGGCGTCCTTTACCAGAAATATTGCCGCTGAATCTGAGAATAGGTTATACAAATGAAGTCATGGGCTTTCGTATCCGTGACTTAGTGACAGCTCGGTGGCGGTATTTGTGTGATAAGTGGAGAAGAATAAATTGAGATTTCATTCCGAGGCTTAAATCGACTTCAAATCCCTATTTTCGTCTCTTCTATCGTAGAAACTAGATGGAATGCAGCGTTAAGAAGCAAAAAGCCGATATCATGTTGATCGACGTCAACCCCGTATTTAGATGTTGACCAGGCCAGGGCCAACAGAACCCTATACTCGGTACTGAAGAAATTTCAACAAATGAGAATTAAGATAAATGTCGTACCTAATCATTCTCGTTCTGCATGCACAAACAGATGGGTAATGCGGAGTACGAGATGGTGGATAATAGGAAATATAGTCAGAAATCTTCCGAGAAAATCCACCATCTAGATTCCGTTGATGGAATACAATTTCTTCGGTACCCACCAACTTTAACTTGCGTATTCATTCCCAGGCGAGACTCGTGAGGGTGAATAATATACAAAAAAGTGAAGATCATCTATTCGTCTAAACTTAAGACCTCCCAAAACGCCGCCCAATGCAACCATATTTTTGCTGTACATAATAATCCTACATAGTCCTATCATTTATAACCCTTTACATTCACCCAATTCCCCCCATTATACAATCGATTCCTGATCTTGCTGCGAGTTGGAATTTTCTAGTCGCTTCAAGATGTATTGGTATAACACCAACATACAACTACTTTGCGTACTGGTCCACACAAATCTAGGTCCTACTCCTCGAAATAATCCCGTTATCCCTTCTGTTTTGTAGATGAGTTTGAGGCCAGTCGGGACGGAAGATGTATCGAGAATTATGCTACCAGGGCGAGGTGTATGCGTGGAAGGAGATGATGTGGATATTGATCGAATTTGATGTTTTGTAGGTTTTGCAGGCTTTGTAGATTTTGTCTTCGTGCGATTGGATTGAGAGAGGTTTTTCGTAGATTCCGATGTCTGTTTAGCGGTAGACTCTGGATTGGAAATGACTTGGGTTTGAATCCTTGTCTTCACAACATCCAGCGGACATGTAATTACTCCTGCCAAACCTCCAGCTGCCGCTCCTGTCAAAAGTTCCAATGGCAATCCAATTTCTCGGCTTTCTTTCCATCTTCTCGCCCAAGTTTGACCTTGCTCGTAGAATGCGAATTGTAATGCCGAAAATGGTAAATCTCTGACAATTGTTGCTCTGTATCCATAAAAAAGCGCAGAGAATCCTTCTTGCTTGACTATCGTTCGGGCGGCATGCGCTGTGTTTTTATAATTGTAACCAGAGTGGAAGAATGGGTTGTTGTATCGACCTTGGAGTTGTAGGCGGGTTTTAAGGACTTCAGAAGGTACGTAGACGAAGGAGGCTGCGAAATCGGCGACAAAACCTGAATTGTTAGTTTAATGTAAATTAAACCCAAACTTCTTAAACTTACCACTGGATAGATATGCAAGCCATGGCGGAATGCCATTGTCTATCAGATGCCTCTTACTGTACTCATATGTTCCGAAGAATATAATTGTGCCAGGGAAAGATCCCAGAAGAGCAGGAACCCAACCTCCATATAAACCTCTCCGTATTCCTTCTTGTCGTAGAATGGTAGAATATGAGGACGACAGCTTGGTATACTTTGGCGGAACATGCGGATCACCTTGCTGGCGAGTCTTAACCGTATCTAGAGAATGCATGAGAAGATCCCCCGTGGTTCCACCAATACCTCCAGCAATCATGGCCTACAAACAATCAGTAATTTGCCTGTAGACCAAAAACTCCAAATCTCACATGTAAGTAAGGTGGTCGTCCCTCCTCTTCGACCTCTTCCTGTGCCATGACTTTCGACCCAAGTAGTCGTTTTCCCACTCTAACATTGACGTTTTCTTCCCCTCCATCATCAACAATCCCGAATTTGGTGCGATCTTCTGCTGGCGAGCCTGCTGATCCGGAGGAAAACAGGTTGACAACACGAGAGGTCAGGGACATGGCCCTTCCTCAATTTCCGAAGCTGGTCGCCTTCCTAGTCCTCAAGTATTCAAAAGAGCGAGTTTTCTGTTACAGCGTTGGTAGGCAAATACAAATCATTTCAGTTGGGTGTCACAAATGTTTTTGATGCACTTCAACTTTTTTGCCGGAACCTTCCACATACGTGTATGCCTGATTAAGGTTAAGGCACTTTTACATGAAACGTGGGTTATCCCCCGGTGAACCCCTCCATCTCTGAGCTACAAGTTCTAACACGAATCGTCAAAAGATCTTCTATTTGCCCTTGATTCCGACCACCTACTACTGATTTTCTCTTATCATTGACTAGCTGAGTTATTATTGGAGACAATCATAAATCTTTATCGATATTATTATTAACTAAGGTTAACCTTTCCTTCCACTTAACCCTTTCTCACCGTTTCATCCGCCTGTGCGGAATATTTCCCAGATCCAAATCTCCTCTCTGTCCTCCTCTTTGCCCTTTCGCCTCTTTCCTTGATCCTCTCTTCATCTCCTTAGCCGCCTGTTTCCTATTTCCAACCACAAGAATATCTCTACTATACCCTCTCATATCATCTTGAGTAAAAAAAGACGAGCCGTGGCTCAGCATCAAGACGCGCACGACGGTCTTACTATCTCGGTCTGAAAGCTCTTTGAAAAGCCCAAAGATTCCGGTCGGCCAAAAAAAACCATTAGATGACTCGGATGTGGACGTGAACAGGAGTTGAATGTCGATTATGATGTATAGAACTGGGATGCCTTCCAGCACAGATGCGAGGAGATTCAACCAGTCTGCCTCGGTTTTGGCGGAGAGGTACATTTGTAAGCGAGAGTAGAGACTGATTTCGGCATGGAGAGCTGTATTGAGGTTGATGGCTTGGAGTATGAGGCTTTTGATAATATCGATTGTGGTTGTGTTGCCCATTGGTGTCGGCGTCTGAGGTTCGCTGGTCTTCAGTGCCCATATTACAGGTATGTTGGACTCTCGAAGCAGTTGTATGGCGTTTGCAGAAAACTTTTTCATGTCATTCCGCAGTCTGTGGCTTCCTTTTACCATCAAAAGTGAGGATACTATGCTTGAATTCCAATTCTGCATTTTGGGAGCCAACCAGAAAGCTGAGCCGTCTGCTTGACGCGCGTGTTGTCGTTTGCGAGCGAAGAAATATATCTGGAGACTCTTCGTTGGATCCAGAGTAACATTTAAGCTGAGGTTGTTGATGAAGTTCATCAGCTGCAGTTGGGAAAGCTGTTGGTGCATCGAGACTTGTGCGCTCGAGTTGAGAGTCTGGGCAGTCACCACAGCGGTCTTGAGTTCACAAAGCTCTTGGGAGATCTTTGTAAACTTGTCATCGACCTTATCTTCTAAACTCTCTTGCTTCGACATGATGTTTTTCATCACAGAATGCATATCTCGCTGTTCTGCAAAACTACTGAGTTGAGCTGTAGTGGAGATACTTTGCGACAGAATTCCAATCTTCTCAACGAGATCGTTGTATTGAATTTGGGGAGGCCGCGTAACTGAATGGAGAATATGAAAAGCCCTGCTCTCTTTGAACCAGGATAGTGAGACTGTGAGAAACTTTATGATCTGAGCATTGAGCATGATCATATATTTACGCATCTGCACTGTGGGGTATAAATTCACTGTATTCTCCATACGAGGAAGGACGTCTGCTACTTGGCACAATCCGTCCGTAATTATTGCAAGAGACTTCTCATGATTTACAACACCCTACATCAAGTCGTCAGACAATTCTCAGCAGCGTTTGAGGGGCTCACACACGACTAACACCAGCTTCATGGCACCATATACAAGCGAAACATACTCTGGTGCCTGTTGCACTAACGCATCCATGACAGTGCCATAGCAGTTTACCTTTTGGGCAAAGCTTGTGAGACATCGTCGAATTTTGGAATCTCCTCGTCGGTCTTCATACTGCAGTTGTGCTGTTGACACACACTTGACTATATCGTCAAGCGTGCTCGGTTTGAGGTCTAAGAAAGATTCTAGCTGCGAGGACTTCTTAGGAAGAGTTGCAATAAACTCGGCTCTAGCTTCCTCGAAGATATTCTCAGCCCAGCCAGTGCTGCTACCAGAGATTAGCACGGTTTTCACGGTCCTGGGAGACATACTTATTGGAGCCGCTATAATAGGAAGCATATGCTGCAATATCAGACATTCTCGAGTGTACAGTTTGAACTTTGACATTATCTCATAAAATGTTCGACAGACAATTATATAATCACTTTCTGCAGGCCGTCGTGAGGCTTTGCATACCGTAACTGCGCCTCGAGAATGGCTTGCCAGCCTCATCATGAACGTGTTATTTGTAGACAGGCTCCAACCAGACTGGATAAACTGTCTACTGCAGATATACAGCTCATGGGTGGCAAGCCCACACGGTGAACTCGATTCAGCAGTTTATGTGGTGCGACCGTGACTTATGTCGGTCTTCGAAGAGCGGTTAATTGAATCCGCCTCATACATTTCGTAACTCCTTCCAAAAATGAATTCTTCCAGATAAATTGCTTTTTTCTTGATTTTAGCCTAAACAATTACACAATGTCACCAATTGGTCAGATATCACAACCTGTGGACAAAAGCAGTAGCAAAAGCGGCACCGAACCCGATATCCCCTGCTATATGTCACAATCATTGACCTACATGTCCTCTGCTAATGCATAAGCATATGGACTCTGAGATAGCCCAGATCTCGCCCTCTTCGCGGTGGTTGAACAAGCCAACAAATCTCGGCACAGGAAGTAAGAAGAAGGATTTGGCAAATCTATCGGGGCTGTACAGACTTGGCCGGAGCCTTGGCGGTCGCACGAATCACGAAAACGACAAATCCGAGAAAGACGAGGAGGGGTACAACGACAAGGACGACGACGAAGACTATGATGAGGGCGAGGAGAACAGAACAGACGAGGACGAGGACCAGAGCACACCCGTAGATAGGGCCAACAAATATAGCAAACCAGACTTCGGCAAGGATTTCTCGGAACCTCCCTCATATCTACACGCTGCAGATAGTTCTGGCACGTTAACGCCTGAGCAATTTAAGCCGGAACCTGAGCGCGCAAAACCGTCAGCTCCTCCGCAGAACGTTGGGAAGACTCGAATTACGATATCTGATAATTTGAGCACTGATGACAACAAGAAGAATCGGCGTCTCTGGGCTCTGAAGCCCAAATCACCAAAGCCTGCTTCTACATCAAATCTCGACACATCTGGTGAGGTATCCCGTCCTCTTTGTACTATTTCGAGTGATTCTAATGATGTGCACATAATAGACAATCAACTCGAAAGCTATAATCCTGGCGAAATAGGACCGGAAGGATCAGGAGGCCTGAACGCACACCAACGAAAACGACAACAGCTAAAACAAGAAGCAGATCGACACCTCCAGGTAGAAAAAGCAGCATATGAAAAACAACAATATCTACAAACAGTAAAACAACAACAACAATATAGGTATTTACAACAAGCAGCACATCAGCAACAAATACAACTACAGCCACAATATTCAGAGGGGCAACCAATACCACTGCAACAAATGACACCGCAACAAATGGCACCGCAACGAATAAACCAGCAACAGATGGTGCTGCAAAACCAACAGCAAATGGCTATGAATCGTCCGCAAGCTTTCCATCCGTTGCACAGCACTTTCTCCCCTATTCAAAATGAACCTTTGTCCCCTCAAATGGATTCCGTTGTCGATCTGTTCTCAGCCTTGGGAATCGATGCTATCGCGATGGGCATTCCTTCAGAATCTTTAAATAACGTCCAAGCGTTTCGAGAGTATCTATTACATATGACACAAGCCAAGGAACCAAACCAAGCCAAGGAACCAAACCGGTACCTGATATTACATCGCATCAAGGGGCAACAAGAGCGTCTGTACTTTGATCCCCCAGAATGGGTTATGGGACAGAATCATACGCGAATTTTGAGGTCGAGGCTACCACTGTTCAACTTGCGGGATTTTCTCGAAAAAAATATCGACATTAGCTTTATCGTGTTTCGCGACTACAAAGAGAAAGACATACCAACGAGGAAAGAGATGGTCGCGGCGGCAGCAACAGATAACAACAGTGGTATTACAAAGTCTCCAGTACATGAAGAAGAGAAAATACTTCCAGTGTCAGAACATCTGACGGAGGCGATTAAGTCGATACTAAAGTCGAAGCCAGAATTCGCAGATCTGCTATCATGGTTTGAGAAAGGTGGGACAGAGCTCCCGTCGCCATTTGTCTTCATCTACCATTCGCGAGCAGTTATCGAAGAGTTAATAGAGGACACCTCTGATCCCAGCACGGTCCGACAGCTGAAGCTCATGATAGATTACATCTACAAGAACTATGGAGAAGAATATGACACTGCAGATGCCATGTTTGAGGAATCCCGCGTTGCTATACCATATGTCAAGTACCTGTTCAAGCCAGGAGACGTACTGGTGGAAGGCACGGGCTCTGACATAAATGGTTATGTGTTTGTAACTTGGCTGCATGATAGTACCTCAATTACAGCAAGTCTGAAGGAAGATGGGAAGAACAAACCTAGCTCACAGTATACCATGGACGTCCGCTCGTGGTCATTTGACGGTGCCTTCAACCGTGTTAGCACTCGGCTTACATTAGAAATAGATGGAAGTGAAAAGACAGAATACGCTATAAGAGATTTGAATATCAGACCAATTGCATGTGCCAGTGATGAGGATAGAAAAACACTTCAAAGTCGCGGAGATATGTTTTGGAAGTGTAGAGAGAGGCACTTTGTGTCATATCAGGAGCATGGTCGTGGCGATTTACACGGCGCCAGTGAAGAAAGATATATGATCGACATGAAGACATTGCGCGAGCTCCACCCAGAAGATGAGAAGAAAAAGAAGGCGCCCTATCCAGAAGATGGGAAGAAAAAGGCCTCCGATACTTTGGATGAAGACGCCATGGCGCAAGACAGTCCTCCATATCCGAGTTTCGTGTACTTACTTCCTCAAAAGATCATTGGCTACAATATGCGGCGCAAAAAATGGGTTGAGCTCCATGCCGATTGGTTGTCCGAGGTGGTTTGGGACAAGAAGGCGTTCAAAAAGTTGGTACTTGCGCAGAAGACGAAGGACTTGATTGAAGCTTTGGTTGTCAATCAAATTGCAGCCGAGAAATCGACCGATCTGATCAGTGGAAAGGGCAATGGTCTCATCCTTCTACTGCACGGAGGGCCAGGTACTGGTAAGACTCTAACTGCAGAGAGTGTTGCTGAAATTGCAGAGAAGCCTCTATATAGAGTCACTTGTGGAGACATTGGGTCAGAGCCTGAAGAAGTCGAGCAGTACCTCAACTCAGTGCTAGACTTGGGAAAAGCCTGGAGCTGCGTCGTTCTGCTCGATGAAGCCGACGTCTTCCTTGAGGAAAGAAGTATGAACGATATTAAACGAAATGCACTTGTATCTATTTTCCTCCGCGTTCTAGAATATCATGACGGTATTATCATCCTCACTAGCAACCGTGTTGGCACTTTCGACGAAGCATTCAAGTCACGCATTCAACTTGCCTTGCACTATCCATCACTGACAAAAGTCAAGCGCTACGAGATTTGGACAATGTTCATAACGCGGCTCCGAGAGCTTGGAGAGACGCAAGTCGACTTTTCAGACCTGGAAGATCATCGGTGGGACTTGGCGGACTATAAGCTCAATGGACGACAGATTCGAAATGCGATTCAGACATCGCGGCAATATGTGTCTTGGAAGAACGCGAAGGAGAAGACGACGTTGAATTTTGATATTTTGAAAGAGATTATCGAGATTTCAGGAGAATTTGATGTCTATATAAACAAATTGAATAATGGGATGTCTCCGGATCAATTAGCTGAGGAGGATGGGCTGAGACTTGCAGAAGTCAGAGAGTGAGAATACATATCTATGTTTAGTCATATCGAGTTTCAAAAGGTTGAGATTTACGAGTAGCTTGTCTAATCTTTTGGATACTGGAATTATACAGCCTGGCTAAACCTTGGAAGTCTTTGTCCTAGTATTGGTACCAACTTGGTTAATAAGTGAAAAATAATATGTCAGTACAAAATACCGTAAGTAATAATGAAAAACTCAAAACAAACTAATCATGGAGTGAATTTGGTTAATTCAGCTATTGTTCATATATATAAAATTATGTAACCAAAAGTAAGGATGGCACCAGCGAGGGGGGGAGTGGGTACACATAACACGCTCTCTCGCCTCCGAGCTACAAGTTTCAGGCTTTGTGTGCATTTCATATACCATATAGTCTATGGTTGTAATCGTTCTTGATCATTATTAATTATGGGAAGCTAGTACTTATATAAGGAAGCGCTATCGCCTTGCTAGCTAATACAATGCCCTCTGTGATCACATGATCGATATCCCGACACCTAGGAAAACCGAATTCTCTTGATGAACTCGAAGAGTGGTTTTGGAGCACCCACTCTTGCTGGGGGAGCTCTGTAGACATGACGTCCATTCTCCCAAACCAACGTATCTGCAAGATAAAGTGATCCACCCCAAGCCTGATTCAATTCCTCAAACAAATCTTTGTAGTTTTGAATAATCTTCTCCTTAGAAGTATTCCGAGAATTGTATCCTAGGGGCATACAAATAGGATTGAGAAGATCTATGTAACTTTCGGAATACAGTATTCTTATAATCATCTTGCATGACCAAGTTCGTGCACTACCGAGCGATCGCAATTGATCAAAGTGGAATGTGCCATTCAATTTCTCTTCCAGAATAAGCTGAAGTTGGAAAGGCGGTATAATGATAGTTATAGATTGCAAAAGTCCATCTCGAGCCATTGCGTTCATCGTTGAGATTGATTTGGACATGTTTGACAGATAAATTCGAAAGCAGCAATCAAATTGTAAAGGTATTTCGATGTTTCTGATGAGTCTACGAGAGATCCAACTCATAGATACGAGTGACTTATGTGCATTATTGATGCACCCAAGTCCAAAGATAGCACGATTCCATAAAAGTTCCTTAACTTCTCGATAAATTTTCGGGTGAACTCGCAACAGCGGTGATTTAAACGTCTTTCTTGACAACTTGTTGGTTGCACAAGGTTCAGGTAGTTCAAGGCAACATTTTGGAGGATGACAACTCGAATACATTACGTCAAACTCAGATGGGAGGAGAATGTGATCATAGATCATGAGGCGAATCTCGGGAGTGATACCCACTAAAGAGGCTGGTTTATACTGTGGTTTCGACCACAAAGCTTTCGAGGGTAGATCGGCAGTGCTTTGCCTACGGCTAATCTGAGATTTGCTACTGTTGTAAATCGATAATGAAGAATTCGAGGGACAACTGGTAGTGCTATATCTGCGGGCGATTCGAGGTTTCTCATGAAGTAACTTCAATTTCGCAATGATTAACTCCAAAGTCTCAATCATTAATTCCAAATTCTCACGCCTCTTTTCAGAGTTAGATTTGAATCCGAATTCCTCCATGATTGACTGCAAGCAAGAATACAGAGCAATTATAGACGATATTGCTGCATCTAAAGCCCAAATTACAATTGCAAATGACACAAATAGAAGACATAAAGCTCCTGTTTCCTCCATGATAGAGAAACTAAGATTTGATCGAGATATTATATAACGATAGACTAAGAATGAAATATGATAAAATAAAATAAAATCCATTAGGTCGTTCGAAGTCTGAAGGGAGTGCTCAGATGTTATGTACGATTATTTAAATTTAATGATGAAATAGAAAGGAGTTGAAGTATTATAAAGATTAAAGTATTAGAATATTAAGTAGAAATGAATAAAGAAAGAGGAAAGGAAGAAGGAACAGAATAGAAAAAGAAGATTTCTGAAAAGATTAAATAGTTTGTGGGAAATTTCAAAGAAGACTAGATGAAGATTCCCCATGGGAGTCATATTGGCTACTACCTATGTTAAGCTTAAATATCTAGCTCCCGCTTTTAGCGTAGATAAGCGAGAATCCATCTTGATTTCGAGAGACCATCCAAGATAGAAGTGGGAATTTGAAGAAAATATGGAAATTTAGAAAATTCTTCGAACAAACTAGATACCGTCATAAAAGTTAGCTTCTTAAATTCTGGCAGACGCAAGTGTCTAGCTGTCTGCGATCAGGAGATACCTGGTGTCATATTGTGACCGGCTATCACGTGATCAACGCTATTTCTTATTTCGTGACTATTCGTCTCCAAAACCAGCCATTCGTGCTCCACCGACCTATAAGCTCTAGCTCTATACTCGCCATTTTTCTATGAAGTCATGAAGCTCCCCCTTCGTACCATTTTCCGATCCGCGTCAATCCTATTCCAACCAATTTCACGTGCATCTTTTCCAACAACCTTTCGACAATCAAATTCTCCCCACCAAATCCGCGCTTTCCTGGTCTCCACGCCAAGAGCTCTCCATACAGAAAATCTTACATCGAGACAAAAAGCCACTGAAGGAGAGAAATCCCGAACAGATGTAGCCCCACAGAATACATTTTCAGAAGAGATTGGCGACTTTGCAAAAAAGCAGACCGAAGATGTCCCCCAGCGATCTACACCCTCTGTTACAGCAGTGCAGGAATCACTTAAACCTCTCTTGAGAGAAAATGACGGGAAATGGGTTCTGGCAGATGATGGAATGTCGGTGGAGAGGGTCATTACATTCAAAGGATTTAAAGATGCCTGGGTTGGTTTTTTCTTCTGTCTTTTCTGAGGGCCAAAAAGCATTTGTGGGAATATGGATTTGGGATGCAAACTGATGATTGCAATGGCCAGAAATCATATAGAGATTGCCTCCTTTGAGGACAACAAGATGATAATTAATCATCTGATATGTCTCTTTCACTCTATTCTCCCATGGAAATCTACGAAACCTCCACCTCTTCCAAACCCATTTGCATACTATTCCTAAAATCAAGCCCCCCCCCCTTTCCAAAAAAAAGTTTACTTCACTAACCCAATACACACTCCACAGAACTTCATGAACGCCATCGCAGCAAAATGCAAACAAGAAAGACATCACCCAGAATGGGTTAACGTAGGTCTCTTAACTTCTCCCATTTACAACCCTTTCTCTGCTCTACAATTGTCTAATACTCCCCAGATCTACAACAAAGTGTTCATCCGCTGGACCACGCATGATCTTCCCGGTCTAACAGCCACTGATATCCTCATGGCCAAGTTTTGCGATGAACAAGCTACCATACACAAAGAAGTATACAACGTCTCAAAGGAATCACTCTCAGAAAATACCCAGCAAGAAAATTTTCTCAATCAAGCTCATCAGATCGCTAATAAATTATCGTCGAAATGATAAAGATTGATTGAACATGCCCAGACCTTGAGGGAAAAGAAAATCCATGGACATATCAGGGAGTAGGTATAAGAATACATATAAAAACAGAAGACTCATTGAAAAGGTATTTCTGGGGTCCAGGCCGGGCGTGGAAAGATGCCATGATGAGAAACGACGTGGGAAAAAGAAGTAGGAGGAGAGAGAAAAACCAAAACGACCGAATTGAGGCTAGAAAATATTGATAATAGAAAATCATGAGGGGATGACACACATGCATTGTGAAGATCCAGGAAACTATGGTACACGAAAAAGCAATAACTGCATAAATTACGAATACCTATCAAGAACCCATCCCACATTATATTAACGCAAAGCACATCTTAGGCTTCTCCCATAACGCCTGAAACCCTCAGCAATAACCACATCTCTCTCTGCAAATTAGACATTAACAAAACACAGTCATCGTTGAGATTCCTTCTCCCGAGATTCCTTCTCCCTTCTAGCTGCAATTTCATAGAAAAGACTTCCATCATAAATTCTCCTGATATCATCTTTCTTCATCTTTCCATCTTTAGGCGACAACAAATGCCACGTTGCGCTCCCTAACATTCATTAGTATTAATCCCTCACTATCCACTCCCAAAGATCCCCCTCGACAGAATAAGAAAAGAGATCAAACATACATTCCAAAAGCGCAGCTGCCCAACCTATCACATCCAAAACGTTTCTCTGACTCTTGACGTACGCAAAAATCTCCGCCTTAGTAATATCCTGCTTATCCCGCCCTGCATATTTACTGAAGAGATCTTCAAAATGCTGAGGGATAAAACGTCCTTCGTGATCAAAAGTTCCGGAATCACTACCGTGTTTGCCTTTATGAATTCTCTCTGTGTGGATTCTGAGCTTGAAATCTGGAATCAATTGTCCTGGGGGGAGAGTCGGATATGAGAAGATGCTATTGATGATCATGGCTGAGCCGATTGCGAGCAGAGGGCTCCAGCCGAGACGACGAAAACCGTTGTAGGTATCGCGGGGAGAAACAATACCGTCTGAATCGGGGTCGAAGAAAGCGACGTGTTGTTGGAGGACCTGGGTTGAGGTTAGGAGAAGTAATAAAGAGGGGGTGTGCATGGTGTCCAATTGCCTGGACTGGCAGTCTAGATGTAAGCGATCAATACTTCAAAGCAGTTCAACACTTTGAGTGAAGTCAGAACTTCAAATAAATCAAGTGTTCTGATTTGATTGAGATAATGAAAGCATCGAAACACCAAACAGCAATCTAGACGATTGGAAACCATAGCACGAGAGAAAACGAACAGTCAAATGCTTATTACGCTCTGCATAATTATCCTTAGTCGTCCCATGTGGTGATTCATAAGATGCCGCGATAGTTGCTCTTGCAACTCCTATATCATTGCCTCATATTAGTAAAACTCCCTCATCCGCACAGAATAACATTGCACAAACCTGCTTGACGCAACCGCTCACTTCTGTGCTTCCCAATTGGAAACCCCTCCTCGCAAGTGTCGTCCTGCCAAAATGGCAGTCTCTCCTCTGTAACAGGACATTCTTCGATCGCCATTTGGAAATCGGGTCCTGGATTCTCGTGCACATCAGGTCTGTGCCAGATTGGAAATCTCTCATCTGTATTAGGGGGTTTTCTGAATGGCATCTCGGAACTTGGTCCCGAATTCTGACGGTCGTCGTCGAATGAGCTTGAGTCGGTTCTTGTTGGCGCCATGATGTTCAAGTTGTTAATGGTTTCTTTTTAATTGTTTGTAGATAATAGTATTTTCTATCTTGTTTCGAGGAAGGAGTAAAGGTACATCCATTTTATATATTTTCTTCCTTGCCATTACTTCTCATTCTTTCTATAATATGACTTCATCAAAAAGTCCGAACGAAGGAACAGCCCAAGTAATGTGATGTCAAAGAATTCGTCAGTCAGTCGCACTTAAGACAATGGGTAATGATCATTTGATATCACATGATTGGTTTAATGAGCAAGACACTCGCTCGGATACTCTGGTGTCTACTGAGTACTTTTAGAACTATAGCTAATTAGTCTATGACGTAACCTAATTAAGCTTAACCCAACTCCTTAGCACGAACATAGGTATTACATGATACTTTTTTTTGACATGTGATGTAAAACTCTGGTACGGTGCACATGTGTGAACCTTGAGGTTACAATAAAGTATAAAACCTTAATCGCTTGTAAAAATGGATTTTTTTGGCAGGATATACTTTTTCCCCCAATCATTTGAATAAGTTCCATCTCCAGCATGTGAGGGAAGTGTAACATGATACCAAGTAGTAAAAGTCACATATATTTCTCCGATGACCTCTTACACATGTACCAATTCAGCACCTGGTAGAGTTTCGTAAGACTTTACATTCTCCCCCAAGGATTGAAAGCTGTTATCACTGAAAAACAGGCCCGGAAATGATAGCATTCTCATCACATCAGAGTTTCTCAATGTCTGAACCGTTATTGCCTATTGAAAGCAGGTACCTGTCGATTTGGAAGAGGAGTAACGCCCGAATCGAATTTTGTTGCAAAAGAATGGCCTATGCTTCTTGTTATTCCATTGTTACATTCAAAGTAGCCTGAAAATCTGATTCTTCCCTCACAACAAAATATGTTCTCGTTGTTCCCCGATTAATTGTACAACGAAATCTCAAGCCTTGCCACTATTCCCCTTTGGCCCACCTCTCAAATTCCGCCACCATTTCCGGAGTTATTTGCCTCTTAATCTTGTTCATTGCCGCGAGGAAATCGTCCATAACCGCTGGTTCCATTGTCCCATGCTTTTTACGTCGTTCAATGGCCTTATCGAAGGCTTTCTGGCAGATACTGACCATTTCAGCTCCTGAATACCCCTCTGTTAGGCGAGCAAGTTCGGTTACGTCAACATCTTCTCCCATCGTAGATTTACGTTGTCTAGCACGAATGATAGCTTCTCTGCCAGAGAAATCTGGTGGTGCAACGTAGATAAGTTCATCGAAGCGACCTGGTCTCAAGAGAGCTAAGTCTAGATCTTGTGGTTTGTTGGTTGCTGCTAGTACGGTAACGCCCTTTAAACTCTCAATTCCGTCCATTTCGTTAAGTAAAGTGGTGAGAACGTTGACTCCGTTATTCGAATTCTTTCCATCTCTTTTGCTACCAATAGATTCAATTTCGTCAAAGAAGATAATACTTGGAGCTGCGGCTCGTGCACGAGAAAAGACGTTACGAACGGCTCGTTCAGAGTCACCGACATACTTGGAGAGCAGCTCTGCGCCTTTGACGGCAAAGAAATTAAAACCCATTTCGGTAGCAACGGCTTGAGCGGTGAGTGTTTTGGAACATCCAGGAGGTCCATAGAGGAGAAGACCTTTTGTTGGTGAACGGCCAAAGTCTTGCATGATTTCTTGGTGCTGTAGTATTGTCAGTATGAATTGAATCTTCCAGGTGCTTTGAATTTCTCAAGTCGTTTGAGAATCCCGTTTTATTTGATCATCTCAAAATATTTGAGTGTCCAAAACTATTCGAGTATCCCAGTTGATTTGTATGTCTCAATCCACTTGCATGTTTGGATAAGGGTGAGACAATAAGATGGGCAATAACTTACGAGGAAAGGTGTTTCAATAGCAAGCTGAATAGCTTCTTTGACTTTGTCTTGGCCTCCAATATCACTCCACTTGACCTTTGGTGGTCTTAAAGTAATATCATGCATTGCACTTGGTCTTACCTCCAGAAGTGCATGCTCGATATCCTCTTTAACGACGAATGTCTGCTGGGTCACATTATCTTCATCTAACTTCTCTTCTGCAAACAGTTGTGCTTCGTCCAATAAACGAGAGAGATCCTCAGGTGTATATGCATGTGTTCGTTCTCCGAGATCATCGAGAATCTCATCGCGAGTTTCAGGGCACATTTGAGGATCCAGAGACTTGAGAATAGCTTTCCGAGCAGCTGCATCTGGGACAGGTAAAGCAATAGCTGTAGTAAATCTGCCTCGTTTTCGTAATGCAGCTGGTAGTTTAAGCATGTCTGATGTCGACGCTGCCACCAGAACTTGTGGCAAAGAATCCGAGGGATGATCTTTCATAAGATCTTCTAATCCTTCGCAAATAGCATCTGTCATGTCGAGTAATGGTTCACCCCCTTTTGCGACTACAGATTCAATATCATCTATAATTATAATACTTGGCTGGTTGACTTTTGCATCCTTGAAAATTTTCTGGACTTCAGATGGCTTGGTTTTCCGGTCAATTCTGCGAACCTTCCCCCATTCTGTGCTGGCGATTTTGTCCAGGACGAAACTCTTGCCTGTTCCGCTTCCACCATGTAAAAGAACGGCTGGTGATCTACGAACTTTGGTAAAATAGAATTGGCGGTTGAAATTGCTCAGGAACTTGTTAAGCTTTTCAAGTGCTTGATCAATGCCTGCAATATCAACAACTTGAAGAGGTTTTTGTTCAACATTGCTTGCAGCTAACATGGCCCCGCTGATTTCTGCAATTGTTCCAATTTTGAAGGATGATACACCTTCATGAAAGGCAGCAACACCAAATTTCGAGCCGTCGATAGAAAAGACTTCAAAGGTTCGCCTTTCTCTTCTAAGCATCACATCTCTGAAGGTCATTCCAGGGTACACCAACTCAGCGCGAGCTGTGATCTTGTCAGCCATGCACTGAGCAGAGAAAAATGTGAAATGAAAAATTCTCGGGCGGTTGAAAGTACAAAATCATGAGACAACGGAAGAAAACTCCTACCTAAGAGATCGTCCAGAACAAACTTCCAGGCAACCTCAGCGTCTCCTGTCAATTCCCGCATAACCCCTTCAACCATACCGACATCCTTAATTAGAATCTCCTTTGCAACCTCCAACTTTGCTCCTCTAGCAACAATCACATCGTCACTTAATTTGAACCCACATGCCTCTTGGAAAGCCTTACTGACTTGCACAACTTTCCTACTTAATTTTTCTGTGGCCAACCAAATTACCGCCTCTCTTCTTGTATGTTCGCCCTCTGAGCTTTTCCATAAATAGCACGTTTCTCCATTCTTAACTTGAAGATCCAAAAGAACGTCTGTACAAACATATACACGTGCTACATTTCTGAAATCCGGCCTTTCTTGAGATTGCGCTTGATATGGACGAACTTTTAATTCTAGAATTTTTTCGGCTGTCATCTTGATCTCTTGTATGAATGTCCCAGAATTTCCTGAACAAACAAAATTACCAATCTTATGGATTTGAAGAAAAAGAAAAGATGAAAAAGGAAAAATATAAAAGTCTGCCCAAGTGGTCAATGGAGGGGTAGAAAGTAAAATAAAATTATGGTCAGCCTTGCCAAGGAACATGGGTACATCTTTAAAGTGTGTTTACCGCTTTTATTCTGCCGATCAAAGTTCCCCAAAACCAATTAATTTTCCCCATCCCCTCCAGCCTTGGCCCCCTCTTCAACCATCCCTCTCACGACCAATGCACTCCTCTCGCCTTCTTCCCCCCTCATTCCTCCTCCCATCATGGAATACCCGGCAACTACAATGTCTCTTTCAACGGCGTCACGTATACCAAAAGACACGCATTCGCAACCGCGGCGGAGAACCTCCAAAACCAAAAGGTGAATCTCTCTTTGGAGCACGACGTCTCGACCTTACTCCAACTATTAAACCACCTACTTCTCTTTTCGAAGAACTCTTCCCAGAAGAACAACAGAAACCTCCTTCATCTTCACCGCCCTCCAAACGTTTCAAACCCCCACCTCCGAGGTTTCCAAAACTGCCTACATTTGACTGGACATCTAATATCGAGACATTTGACGAAGCGGAAGTGCGGAGACGAGCTGCGGAGAAAGAGAGGAAGGATTGGAATATTGTGGGAAAGGAGAGAGGAAGTGAAGAGGAGGATGCGGTTCAAAGGCGGGAGGCTAGTGTGTTGATTTTGAATTGCGCGAGTAAGACATTGGAGGAGAGTGACTTTTTTAGATTGAGTCCGAAGGGTGAACATATTGAGGGTTGGACGAGTGGGATCATTAAGAGTGCGTACTCCTTGTTTTATATTCCTATTTTATGTCTACATGGAAACGTAGCTGTGTTTACATATAGCTAATTTTATCTTCAGTTATCCCTGGGCGCGATCCCCATACTCTCCAGTCCCTAGGCCACTACTTCATTCTCTTCAGTTCGCGCGCTGCAGCTCTGGCCTACTTCCACCGAACTATTGAACTACACACCCTCTCTCGAACCTACAGCCCTAACAGCATCCCTCTCCCACTTCAAATCTCCAATCGCTCCTCTCGAAGCCCCGATCGTCCCCCTTCAACTCTCCCTCACTCCCCAACCGAACTCCAAAATCTTCTCAAGAACTTCACCCTCGTCCCCCCATATACACGTCTTTCTCTACGCATTCTTCAAAAACCTTACCGACCAGCGATGACCACTCTTTTAGCAACCGGCGCTCCCACCACGCTCACACAATCCAGATCCCAATCCCACACCATCGACACTGTCCTCTTCACACTCACCATTCCCAGCATTGGACTCAGTTCATGGGGTCTCCGAGAAATCCTCGACGCAGACGGTAAACGTCGCAACCTACATTGGCGCTTTGCTCAATCTGGGGCCATCATTCGTGTTGGCGAAAAGATAGATCCTGCAACTGGAAGTGAAAAAACAGAAATAGGTTATCGAGGAGAAAATATTATCGGAAGGAAGAAAGCTTATAATACGAGTGGAAGATATATAATCTCGTTTATGGATCGAGCCGAAGCGAGAAGATTTGTTCGAGAATGGCATAAGAGACCTTGTCCGTTGCAAAAGGAGTATAAAGAGGGAGATGAACCACCTCCGATTGCTAATGTCGAGATTATGTGGTAGTGGGGGACGGAAGGAGGAGATGGGGGATGTCTTGGGAATGGGGTGAAGATGCGAGAAAGAAGAAACTCGTCAAAGAAGTTCTACGGAAATGATGTTAGTGATGATGCGTGGTCACTCATTGAGAAATCGAAAGAACAAAGGCACATTTTGACATCACATCGTATACCATCTTGACTTCACTATGTTTCTGAGCGATTTGCTCACTCGAGTGGTGAGACAAGGAGGTATAAGAACACTTGCGCGCGTGAGAGAGTAGGAGAGAGAGAGAGTTATTGCGGAGGAAAACACCAATCTCATGCTACAGATACCAAGATGTGGATAAGCATCACTACAGAAGTACAAATCCCAAGTATCTCGTATTACAACATATGTTACACTTTGGGCTAGAAGCTAGATGTAGATACATATATCTTGAGGTAATCCATATAGGGAATGGTATATTGAGGAAGAAGGATAACAAGTATTTGAAAATGAAACAATAAAAAATACACAAAATATAATAAATATCGTTATACCTTTCTATTTCACACTTATCACTCACTCATCTACTTCTAATATACAACCATACTTATTATAATCTCATCTCATACCCTCTCATCCCTTCTCACACTCACTCACTCATCCCATCTCATTCTACCTTATTCCATCTTATCCCCTCTCATCCCATCTCATCTCATCTCATCCCCTAATATCAAATCCATCTCCTAATATCAAATCCATCCCCTAATATCCTATCCACCTACCTACCTATCTATCTACCTACCTACGAATCTACCTATATATCTCTATACCTACCTCTATACATACCTATCTTCGCTTCTATTCACACCACAAACTAACATTCAACCCTCACCTCCTCAACTTCCTATTACCTCCTCACTTCCAATCCTCACCTCCCCACCTCCTACAATCCCCACGTCCACCTCCTCATCCACCTCCTTAGCTTCCTATTACCTCCTCAAATCTTCAACTCCTCATTCTTATCCTCTCATTTCCCCTCTCCCGTTTCCTTTCCCTCTCCTCCTTCTTTATATAATTTCCTCTCCTTTTCCTATATAGAGTTCCTCTCCTCTCCTAAAGATACTCCTCTCCTTCCTCTCCTTTCCCTCTCCTTTCCTCTCCTTTCCTCTCGCTTCCTCTCTCTCCTTCCTCTCCTTTCCTCTCTTTCCTCTCCTTTCCTCTCCTTTCCTCTCTTTCCTTCTCCTTTCCTCTCCTTTCCTCTCCTTTCCTCTCCTTTCCTCTCTTTCCTCTCTCCTTTCCTCTCACCTCCTCTCACCTCCCCTTCTCTCCTCTCCTCTTCTACATATATTTCCTCACCTCCCTTTTCCTTTCCTTCCCTTCCTTACTATCTAGATAATAAGTATAAATAAACCTATAAACCTATATAAAATCTATATAAAAACTCGTATATAAAAATTTATATATAAAATCCTATATATAAAACCTAATACTATAGCTCAAAAAACATATATAGACACAGACAAATCACTTTTCACATTTAAATCACTTCTTATATACACATCACTTCTCACATACACATCATCATCCTCAGATACACATCATATTCATCATTACATATATCATCACATACACATCACTTCTCACATCACCTTCACCTTCATACTCATCCTCACATATACATCACATCACATACATATACACATACAAATCACTTCTCACATCACATCACATCACAATCACAAAATCACCACTCCTCCTCCTCCTCCTCCTCCTCATCGTCATAATCACCATAATCATCATAATAAACATAATCAACATATAAAAAAAAAGAACACGCCTATCAATTTAATACCATATAAATACGCATAATCACCCAACTCCGGCTTCTCTCTTGATAAAAAAAAAAGGTAAAAGTAAACAAAGCAATGGTTATGCACTGCCAACCCACAAACACCATTGTATTGCCTCTCGCACTGTGCTTAACCACTGTCCTTCCTTCCCAGCCCTTCCCTGCTTCTTCCGACTTCTCTTCTCCTGTCCCCTTCTCTATAGAATCAAATCATAAAAGAATTCCTCCATCTTCCCCTTTAACTTCTTCCGCAATCATATCATATCATATTATATCATCGAGCACCTATCTCCTCAAACAACACAACATCCCTCTTCTAGCAACATTTACTTCCACCCCCACTACTTTGTCCACCCACATCAACACCTTGTTGCGCCGCCTGATCTATCTTACTCGTATCCACGATTCTCTTCTTGATATCTGCTGCCAAACTGTAAAATGCCTTTTCTACATTAATGTTACTCTTGGCGGATACCTCGAGGAAAGGAATGCCGAGTTCATCTGCTAACTGTTGACCGCGTTCGGTAGATACAACTCGTTTGTCTTCCCAATCGCACTTGTTGCCTATGAGGATCTTGTTTACACCTTCGGTGGCATGTTGTTCGACGTTGCTGAACCAGGTGCGAATATCTAGGCAGGAGTTGTTAGTAAGATTCTTATGACGATTTGTATTTGAACGTTGTCTTGTTTCATTCCCCCTTGCTGCAGAAAACAGCACTCATCCATTCATCATCCTCTTCAATCTTCCCAGTCCACACCACGACATGACATGACCTCTTCTCACAAACTCCATCTCCAATCCACGAACAAAAGGAACAACGTACTTGTAAAAGATCTCTCATCTGTAACATCATACACAAGCAAGATGCCCATGGCCCCCCTATAATACGCCGTGGTGATCGTCCTAAATCTCTCCTGACCCGCCGTATCCCAAATCTGCAACTTCACTCTCTTTCCATCCAACTCAATTGTACGGATCTTGAAATCAATTCCAATCGTGGTGATGAACGAAGGTGTGAAACTATCCTCGCTGAAACGCAAGAGACAGCATGATTTTCCTACACCGGAATCGCCTATCAAAAGGAGTTTAATCTATTTGCACAGAGAGCATGTAAGCATTTGTATTTATCTGTGTATTTGCATATGCGTTGGGAATTGAATAGGGGAAGTAGGAGGAAGGTCTTGATTGATAGACCGATGGATGGATGGATTAGAACCTGGGTTCGTAAACAACCTCACCACCCATCGAGCAAACAGACCGTCAATCCAACATACCAAAAAATCGTAATTCCTGGTTCCGGCCATCGTGTCTGAAATCGCACTCGAGTAGGGAGCTCAAGTACAGTCTTTTGAATATCTGGATAGCCTTGTAAATGCGGCGTTGTCAAATCCACAAGATCTGATCACTTTCGTGCACTTCGTCCGTGTCCTTAGTTTCCTTTTGCTGGGCCTCTTGGTCTGGTCTACACCTGGCACCGAATTCGAATCGTCTACCGTAATGAAATGAGATCGCTGGAAGAAATGTGTGGGGTACAGGGTGCTGTGGGTCGAGAAGAGTTACTTTATTTATCGTGGTGTGAGGGAAGACGTTCCGTTCTGTTTATATCGTATATCGTATGTAGAGTTAAAAAGGTAATACGAGATATCGATTTCGAGAAGTGCCGGTTTGGACGGGGGTTTCAAAAAGATTCACTGGTACGGACACTTTCTCTTTCTGCCAGTGTCGTGATTATAATCACAAAACAAAATTAACACCTGCAATTGATGTAATGCGTAATCCCTACGGTTCTTTCCTAATAAATCTTGGGAGGTGGTTGATAGAAGACGGGATGTGAATGGTCCGAATTTCAAGATCTGGATAGGAAAGTACCTATGTACCTATGGATGGATGTATCAATTTAAGATTCAGTACCTACCTAGTCGGGTACGTCCGTTGTCCGTTGTTAAACGAGTATGCGGCGTCGCGTCTACTGTGGCGTGTGTCAACCAATGTCCACGGGTTTCTCATCTATCAAGTACGTACGGTGTACAGAGTCAAGTCTTTGGAAAATGTCACCAAAGAAATATTATGTTATAAAGAAATATGATATTACATTGGATACTTGTTAATATGACACCTTTAGACCAACCGTCCTGAACCCTTGATTCTCACACCAATCACTAGGTAGATATAAGGTTACATGCCTAGTGTCCTCATACAGCTTATACGATACAAGTTACTCCAAACTCTAAACATTCAGAGCTAGATACATCTAGGACAAGTAAGCTTCAAAGGTTCAAACTTCTAATAGTCGATTCTTCAAGTGGTCAAGTGTATCCATATAGTCAATCTTGTACCCTCTCCTGGAAAAACTACGTCTGCAGTATCCATATGAATGCAAGTTCTTTCCCATGTCCATTAAAAGGGCTGTGTTAGAATTCAATACTAGTAATCTTACCACACAACCCTATAAATAACATTTCCAAATATTCACATATCCATACAACAATAATGTACACAAATACGTACGATCAAATCCAGATAACTACTAAATTAGAGTGTTCTCAGTCTTGCGACTAGGTCATCGTTTCTTTATCCATACCATGCCATTCCATCCCGTCATCTAATCATATCATATCATAGCATACAAATACTCATATCAATATCACTCGCCATGCAAGTATTGCTTTCTCCTTTCTCCATCTTCCTTTCTATACTGTACACTCCACTCAGAATCCACCTCTCTATCTTCCGCGTCCCCCTCCTCCTCTCCCTCCCCAAAACTACCTCAACCACCTCCCATAACTCCACCTAATCCTCTCCAAAACCTTAAGCTGCACCTGAATACCACTATTGATATTACAAAGATCCCCCACGTCCTCCAGAAACTCTCTCTCCACATCCCCAGGAAACAAACTATGAGCTCTCTTCCTCAAGACATGAACTTCACACAACAACAATCCATGATCTTTGTACGAGAGCAAGTTATTCTGCGTAGGCGTAGCAATCGTAAGAATTCGATCGATATTTCTCAAGACCCTCGCAGTTCGCCCCGCCCTTTCACCTCGTCGAAGTCCCTTGCGTGAGCCGAGTAATGTTCCAAAATATCGGAAGGTAGCGAAACAGACCAGAACACCAGGAGTCAGACCTAAAAAGCCAAAGACAAGCTCTTGACTCTTGAGTAGCGCATCGATACCACTTAGCGCAACCTCCACATCGACCTTGGTCTTTTGTACCTGGATCAAAACTGTTCTGATTAAGTCTCCTCTGACGGTTCCTACAAATGGTCGTTGCATATCCTTTTCATAAGCGCGAAGAACGGGTGTGAGATCACCTGCCTTGACTTTGGCTTTGATCTCGGTAATTTGTGAATCACTTAAAGCGCCAGTTCCGTAATTTGCGGCTTCTGGATTGTCGCGAGCGAAATCTACCACCATTCTTTCCAGACTTTCCATGTCGCCTCTCAGACTCTCTTTACTCATAATTGCCACTTCACTATCCTTGTCATGACGAATTGTCCCGATGACCTTTAACGTAGGATCAACAACCCAGTTCATCCAGAAATCTTGAATAGTAGATCCAAGTTCTCTGATCCAAGTAAGAACCTCTGCTTTTCTGTTCACCAAGATTCGCAATATAGTCGAAGACGAAAGTAACAACATGCTAGCCGGTAACCAGTATCTAACGAGTCTTGAAGGTCGTCCATATTCCGAGACAAGCTTTTGTGAATTCGTAATATGCTTCGGTACATGGGCAGAGAGGATGTGCTGCAATCTTCTCGACACCTTACTCGTCCTGGTCGCTTGTGAATTGTCCGCACTCGAAATCTCTGGGTCATCCTCCACACTGGCAAACACAGTATCCTCGAAATCCGAAACTCCTTGCTCAAGAGCCGTAACATTGCGAAGCACATTATCCATCAGTGCCACACTCCTCTCCACCACATCTTTCCACTCCGAGTTTTCTGACTCCTCGGCTTTCAGACCCGCACCCTCTTCATCGATATCAAAACTCAACGCTTCATCCATCAAAACTCCCAATCCACTTGCTCCCATCTCCCTAAACCTCTTTAACCTTGCCTGATTCATCTTAGCCTTTGACCTCCCCAATGCAACCGGACTCATAACTCTCTTCTGCACCTCCACCACACTCCTCTCCCTAATACTCTCCCTCACCAACCCATAAAACATACTCCATTGCCCCGCGACTCCCTGTCTCACATCCCTCCCACCCTTTCTAACCGCACTTCCAGGCGCTTCTTTCAAATGCACCAATCGCTCCCTCGAATCACTGTAAATATCCTTTCCCCAACCCCACAACCTCTGCGGCGAAGTCTGTATCGTGTACAGTCCCGAATATGTATATGATCCGAGCACTTCATCCCAATACCAAATATCATCACTTAGCGGAATCGTTTGTTCCAGCAGCGTATTCAATATCAACCCATATGTTTGCACCGTCGCCTTACTAACCAACAACCACTCCAATTCCCTCTCATAGTTCTTCAGATAGGCATTTACACCTGCTCTCCCATTCTTATATTCCCTTTCCTCATCCTCCTCGTCATCTTCATCTCCATCCTCATCCTCATCCTCCTCTTCAATCTCTTCACTCTGCACCGACCCCTTCAAATCCGCCTGTTCCAACAACCGACTAATCCTCCCACCCGAAAGCAACGCGCCAGAACTCGACGTCGTACTCAATGCCTTAACCAGCGCCTGCAACTCCGCTATGCGCGGCGAAGAAGCAACCTTCGCATGTTGCGCGGACACCAAACTTTCATCTGCGGGGTAAGGGAAGGGAGCGAGTTGGACGCGGTCGAGCTGGGCGTCAACTTTTCGTATTTGGCTATTTCGCAGAGATTGTCAGTGATTTGTTTGCGAAAAATGAACTCGACATCAATAAACCCAGAAAATGCAAATCCCTAAACATGGAAAACTCCCAACCAACAAATAATTAAATCGTGAACACTCCAAATTACACCAAAACCCATCTCTCTACCAGAGTAATCCCATCTCATATCTGCACAACCCCTCACACAACCCCACAAACAACCTTCATTCAAAAAAAAACCAACCAAAATCAAAATCAAAATCAAAAGCCATAAAACAAACAAACAAAGAAAACAGCTCCCCAACCCAATAAATAAATCACTCACTCTGCAACAATCGACATCCTGCCACCACCAACATCGATATACAACTCTTGAAGTAACGGAAGCTCAGAATCGCGATGCGGGTGTAATGTCACGACAAGCTCGGGCAAGGTTCTAGGATGATTGAGTGTTGGAGAGCTCGCTCGCTTATGTACGATTGAAAAATGACGCAGCGCAGCGCAGCATGGCAGTTTGACAAACGGCTGGTGTGTGGATGAAAACACGAATAATGTTGTTTAGATTAGAATACATTGTTTCAATATTATGAGTATGAAGAGTACATAGTTTCTGAGGTATAGACAATTACGATATGATAATACAGTATCACAAATTCTCGAAGTGCCAAGATTTAGTATCACGCAGGTGGGAGATGAGAGGGGTTAAAGATTCTAAATATGCACCAGCTGTTACACTTGATAAAGGAGCCGAAAGGCTTTTCTCATATTCAAAATCTAAAATCTATATACTCGATATGCTCTACAAATTCTACACAAATATTTGTACAAACCCCGTTCTAGATCCTCAAAATGAACTTCCAGCGATTAGTTCCGGCTCATACTCGTCTTGCTCATCCAAATTCACGTTTTCGTCTTCAAAATCATCCCAGTTATTAACTTCTTCTTGAGACTGTGATTTCTGTGCATCAAGAGCCATAGCTCTTTCCATGATTTCAAGAGTCTTATTTCTAGCATCCTTCTTATCTTTCTGATCATCACCGCGCATCATTGCAAAGATCGTATGAGCTTCTTCGATAGCCTGAAGAAATGTTTTCAGTCTTGGACCGAGCTCTCTTTTCCGCAATGACGTTCGCGTGTTCTTTAGTATGCCTTTCATACGTGGGTCCGGTACGACTTGATGAACAGTCAACATATTTGTGATCCAGACGATTCCTCTGGGTTCTTTCATGCCGATGTAAGCTTTCAGAAGGATTGTAAGATTGATCACATTTGGTCGGACTGTTGCGCTATGAGTCTGCGAGACTTCTGTCCAGAATGCTATTGCATCTCGAAAGTATCCATTTCGGACAAGGATATTAGTAACTTCATTGAACACAGGTTCTGGCACAATAAGCCCATGCTCCTCCGCCTTGGTGATTGCTTCTCTGACAGAAGTCAAGAACATAATTAGACGACTGCTTCCGACGCGCTCCATGAAGCTTGGTAGTCGGTGAGTGAGGAGCGTAACAAGAGCATCATCCAACAAATAGCCTTTCCGTTTCGCGTCTTTGAGAAGCTCAATAGCCATGTGCGTATTGCCATCACTCAAGTGCAGTGATGCTTTTACAGTGGCTGCCAATGCCGAACTATGAATGAAAACTCCCTGTTTGGAGGCGGCGTCATATATGTTTACGACCTTTTGAAAGTTGCCCTTTCCCATCTCCTCGATGATTTGTCTACGAGGATAATTATCATCATTTATAGCTCTAGTCCCCCTGGGAATGACCCTTAGCTTCCTAGCAGCAACTTCTTGTTCCCCCTTAGAATCCTTAAGAGCAAGCTGGCGCAGTTGCGCGAGGGTAAAGTCATTTGTATAATCCACTGAAGATTTTAGCATCACACGATGTACTTGAAATACTTGTTCAAAATTAAACCCCCAAGTTTTGTAAAGCTGGCTTAGAATAGTATTGAATGAATCAGCGTCGAAGCACGTTGAAACAGAGGTTGCATACTCTATCCAACGGAGGATAGAACGAAGCTCTTTAGCTTTTGCGTACTCGCCGATCATAATGTTCGAGGCGTAAGATGTCAGAGGTACTTTATACTCTTCCAGACAACAACGAAGAAAATCCTCCGTCTCGGTCACAGGATGTGATTTAGCAAATATTTTAAGAATCGGTGGAAAAATGTCGCCATAGACTTTGGGATTGGGGTTGAGTTTAGCCATTTCGGCGAAATTGGTCTTGACATCATCCCATTCCTCACACATCGCTTTACCACGAGCAATCTGGCCGCGTATGAGGATATCATCTTCACACGGACCACTGATTTGAAACAAATGTTCGTGATATTTACCGGCGGCTTTGAAATCACCTGCTTCTACACATAACTGTATAACAACGGCATAGGCAGCTTCTGGCCGACAAACATTCGGTATCACAGTCTTGAGTCGTTCAAACCTCTCTTGAGTTTTACGAATGCTTCGTTTTCTACGCCATTCCGTGCCAAGCAGTTTTTGAAACCAATTGTTCGATCTTATGAAGTGGTCGCTTTGGATAGATTTCGACACCTCTATCAGAACCTGTTCCGCATGGGTGAAATGATTCAGTTCAAGCGCTCTCTCGAATACGGCATCCGTAACACGGTAGAGCTCTTCTTGGCTTGGTGGCGATTTGACGAAATGCTTGAAAAAGTGAGAAATGGCACTACGATACTGTTTGGTCTGTATTTCGGCGATTATGAAGGACCCAACTGCGGAGTTGGATGTTTTGCCACGTGTAGCCTCAATTCGCCAAAATAGTTGCTTGGTCAAATCATACATCTTGAACAGACAGGTCAAGTTGCAAGCTTCCACTATGACAGGTCTTAGTTTATTCGAAATCGGCCCAGGCTTCGCTTTGAATTCTGTAAGGCACAAGGTAGAGGCTTTTCGGAGTTTAGAAGGATATGTGTCGTGGCCAGCCTTATCGTCTGGACTCCTTAACAGTGATTCAATAATAAGATGTGGTTCGAATCGTTTGAAATCGGTCTCAGAAAGAGTGGTCGATTTCAGAACAATATCAAGAATCCTTTCCATATTTTCCACCATAGAGAGAGACCGACAAACTGTAGATAGCGCAATTGCTGCTTCCACGAGATATTTTTGCATGCCACTAGTTCCTAAATCCAGACCTTCCTCAAATGCCTCTAAGAATCGCCGCAAGGCAGAACCAACAGCAATTGGGTCCTTTCCATCTCCAATGATCTGCTGTATGTCATTTGCAAGACGCAGTTGACGGTCTTCTTCGATATCCTTAGGTTTTGGTAACGGATCTTTTGCGGTTGGGGGGCGTAAATTTTCAATTCGAGGCGGCTTGAACGGAATTGAAGGCGGTATCAGATTTGCCGGCTCTGTCGTTTTGCCAAATGTTGAATCACAGGCTACAATCTCTTCGGCACTTGTAACACGGCCCAAGGCGGTGCTGCCAGCCTGCCAAAATCCATCGTCCTTATATCTCAAGACCTGCTCCTCAAATGTCTCTGCCAAATGTGCACTCGGTTCGTGGTATTGTCTCGCAGACTTAAGTTTCTTGGCGTTATCATGTACTAATTTTGCGCCGTGGATTCGTCGTCGACGGTCCTCTGTTAGCATGCCAGTACTGAATGCGACTGTGCAGGATGTTCCAAGGGCGATGTTGCGAAGTGCTCGCAATGCACCTTTAGAAGGCACAGGCAGGGCGGATGGCATTTCAGTGGTAATCTAGCCATCGCATCTCCATTCAAAGAAAAGGTAGTAGTGAAGTGCCTGGTGCACTTAAGGTTTTGTGCGGGATGGTCCGATTTGCACTGGTCGTCCCAGCATCTATAAACCCAGAACTTTTCGATTGACGAATGATTAGTCAGCACCCCGCACCCACGATCTCGGGTTTGTTCCCGGTGAGCTTGGGATTTGGAGAGCCATGGAAGGAATTGGCACATTTGTTCAGCGTCTACATGGCCAGAAATATTTCTAGAGTCTGTTGGCAGATATTTAAGATCTGCTTGTAGCTGTTCTCAACTTGCCTAACATATTCACTTCATGCATTTTCGAGAATGGATTCGTATGTTGCACAAGATTCACACACGATTTTCTTCTGCGGATATCCAAAATGTACCTATACTTCACCCCGACCGAATATCTTCCTCATACCATCAAGCTCAATTTGCACCGCAGGCCAGTTCCAGAGTCGCAAAATGAAACGGGCAAGTTAACCTGACTCAATACGTCATCTAATAGTTTTATTTTTGACGGTAGACCTGATTGAGATAAAGGCTTCGATGATGAGTGAGATATGCAGAAACTCATGTCCCCGAGTTCTCGTCGATGCAAACCATCAAACATCGAATACAAGCCCGCTCCTGAAAGACAATATGAAGCCTTTGCACTTAACAATGGAATAAATCGAGTGAGTTCACAAGTAGGTAGGTACACATATCAATCGGTGCACATTCAACAATCAACAAGACCTTGTTCACCCAAGATTATATACTAGATATGCGTCAAAACTCTCACCGCTCAATATACACATCCAAATCCTTTATTCCAGATCCAAAAACTAATACAATCTCATTTTCACAAGACATAATCAACCAAAAGCTCTGCATAAACCTCTTCTCCCAGTACCAGAAAGATATAATACAGAGAGATCCCCTAAAACCCAACCAGTAAAACTCCCCAAAAATCACTTGACTAGCACCTCCAAATCTTTTGTTGCACATCTACAAATCCAATAGATCCTCCTTCTGCAAGATCAATTGAGATCACGAGGGCATCCTAAGACATAAAGACGACGCTATCGATATTAACCAATAGAGTTACTCAGGTCACTTGACCAGCCAACCTAAATTTTCTTGTTGCATATCTCATGAATTGATCCTACTGGAGTAGGATCAATTTGCAGGTGTGGATAATTGGCCTTGCCGAGCAAGGTCAATTTAGTGAAATCCTTGGCCAGATATCATGGACAGCAACACACTGTACACAAAACTCCCTTCGGAGATGTAGCATTTGAAAACTGACGGTGTATATGAGACTTTCCGGACCGTCATGTTGACCATGGCGACTTTCGGCGACCTTCAGTCACCTGCAAAGTAATCATCGTCAGTATCTAAATAGAGGATTCATTTATCAAAGGGTAGAAATATCAGCTAGTCTCATAACAATGAAAAATTAACAACGTGCTATTAGCGTCATCCATTAACGATTCGTCGTCCCTCACACATACACATCGATCTTGGTGTATCCGTATACTTCAAACAATTTAAACAGCGCCTTCAATCGTGATACATACTCCATGAAACACAATCACCTACCAATGCGTATTTTCTTACGTGTGATCTTCGTATCCTCGATTGACCATATGATTTGTAATAAAATTTGTAAGCTCTCGCCAAGAGCATGAGCTACGGCTCCCTCCCCGTCTTTGTACCTCAGAGGATGTTTCGGTGAACGAGCTACGAGCCAATCCAGACTGCCCCTCAAAGAAGCGAATCGGTAAGACAAGTAGGGCTGAAGATAGTTTCATATCGTATGTGATGGTGTTGTTCACACAACTTTAGCTTGCATATCCCATTTTGGAGCTCAGATAAGCCGTTGATGGAAACGGCCGCACGGGTGAGGCGTAGAGGTGATTCCATCATAATGCTACTCTGTCTTACACGATGATAACCAGTAGGAAGAGATGGGGATGGGGATGAAGAAAAGCATCATAGGGCTGATTGGATAAGGTACGAAAGTACTTGGGGGCCAACAAGTGTGTTACGTGATAAGGTAAGAAGAATAGAATGGGTAGAATCTTTATATCCTAGTGAGGAGGATGATATTGTAGTATTTGAGGGAAACTGTACGGTATTGCTAACTTCAGCATGCACTTTAGGTCGTCTGATTAGATAGTAAACGACACAGAGCCGGGAACTCAGTTTGATGCATTACACATGAAATGATTTGAAGAAAGATCTGTGATGTCGCCTAAAACTCCTTCAATACTTCAGCTACACGGGACAGCCCGAAATCCTCTCCCGTGCTAAAATTATCTACGGGAGAGAGATCAGTGCTCGCCGAACAATGGGCAAACAATAGGAAATTTGATGATTTGTTTTAAATACGTTTCATCGTCAGTTCATAGAATGACGACAGCCAATATCAGGAGAAAAAGATAAACTTGTTGGGAATACTTGTAAAACCTGAAGATGATTTGGGCAACGCGATAAGCCTATGCTGTCATTCTTTTGCACGTCAAACATATGGAGAGGTCTACCTACAATTATATTCTGCCTTATGATCCTGTCCCATCGTACTTTGGATCCATCTATACCAATCACTTTTTCTTCATAAATCCAGCAGCGCTAACGAACAACGTGTTTACACGTGATGGAAGCTTTGAATGCAGTCAGCTTACTTCCCTGCCCGCCGAGAAGGACAAGTGATGATTTGTGATCTATTTTTGTCTCCCTTATAGCAATCGGTGCTAATTGATATAATCGAAATAACTCCGGAAGGTCAAAGCGGTACATCAAAAGCAATTCTATTTTCAGTGCGTAAATATCGTACTGAACGGCGGGTAAAAGGAGATGTCTATCGACAATAATTCTTATTTCCCTAATAAGTTCTTCTCGTTTATGGACACTTTTCTCCTGCAAGAGATAGATTGTAGTTCCAACGATTTGCTATTGATCTTTCGAGCCACCAGAAAGAATCTAAGTATCTTCAGCTGTGCATGAAATCAACCGACGTTGCAGTACTACATGGCTCAAAAGCAAACATGCAGTCTTGACACATCGATGCCAGGGTACATACCAAGATGTTGGTTTCATGCTTGATACTTCTACCATTCGCCGCTGAACGAATTGGAGATCTTGTAGAATCCTCATCTTATGACACGGCGGTATAGAGGTAATAATGAATCATGAAAGCGCAATATTTTGGTATGAGCGTCTGTCTCACCGACTCCGGCCGATTCATTCCTCAAAGTGAAGAATCAGTAAATACCTTGCAATTAATATGGAATAAACTGAAGCGGACTTCTTTTTGAAGGCCAAGAATTAAAAGAAAGCTTTTGAATGTCAGAACTATCAATCAGCGACCGGCCCCAGGTCAAAAGTAACAACGAATATACTTGACAGGAAGTTGACACACGCCATTTCCGTTTGATAATGTTAATGAATGGAGTGAATGACCTTGTGGTAAGGCTGAAGCGCGGCAATCTCCCAAGCAAGCCTTAATTCACCTCTACGAGTATCACCTTCCCAAGTTTATCATAGCGCATGTGTCGTAGTACATGAGTCCTCATGTAACTTTTGAACTCGACACCCTGGTAGGAGAAAGGAGATGGTTTGTTTGATGGAAGGATTCCGGAGTGTAGGATTCGGAAGTATTAGCGAAAGGCCTAGGATCGAAGGAGCTTTCCCATCCTGCACCCAGGAATGTATGTAGGGTAGGTATGTACGGAGTAGGTATGTAGGTAGCTTTTGTGCACATGGATAACAAATGAATGTTTTTCTCCTCATATATCTAGGTATTCGTACGAGAAGATTCAATTGTTATTCATTACTACCTAGGTAGCTGAGAATAAATAATGATTATAACAGATCATGATCGATATAATAAAATACACTCGGACAAGTGAGTTCGTGTTTCTCTCGAGATGATGATGATGACAAAGACGATTAGATTAGTAATTGATCATTAATACAACAAAGCCGGAAAGGTCGGAGAAAGATGCAAATAAGCAACTTTTACCTGGTCCATTACGTTCCAATGCGAAGAGGCAAAGAAATTTAGTCTGAAAATTCAAAATGAACCATAAATACCTCTCCCTTGAAAGTTAAGTCAAACTTATAAAGTCCTTACTCATCATTTTCATCCTTCACTCTTGATCTTGAATATTCATATATTTACATATAATTAAATATTCAAGATTCAATATTGTCGACGTAATTATTTATATTCACATTCATATTATACCCAGGTATATACCAATACCAGTACTATATATATGAACTCGGAAAATCTGTGAAGAGGAAATCACCAGCTACTATCACGTGCTTTATCTCTCGGAATTTCGCGGTCTCTCTCCAAATTGGTACTGTAGTGTCCATCCAGTCCTATCCAGTTCAAGTCCAGTCCAGTCCTACTCCGTTCCGTATAAGCAAGCAACCTCCATCCAGATCCAGCCAGCCCGAGAAACGGTGGAATCATATACAGAGTAATCAATCGACCAAAGAGCATAATAATTCAGCCGTTGACATTTTATTACATTTAACATTTAACATTTTACATTTTACATTTACCTCATCCTTTTCGGTCGTACACTTTGACGAAGGGTTACTTTGCCGATTTCCTCCATACTACACACTACACACTACAATACCTTCCTACCCATCTACCGCTCATCCATCCTGACCCCAGTCACCCACCATCAAAGGTCACGTCAACATTCTGATAAATCTATTTGTCAAGCAAATCAAAACTCAAGAAAGTTGGAAAACTATCAACACCCTCCCTCAAACAACTAAAGGTCCCAAGAAGCAGTATCCATTACCTACTACACTCTACCTATCGAGGTACGATTTTGATAACAACTTTCCATCATGCAATCAATCGCGCCCGCGCCGGTAGCACAAATGCAGAATCAGGTTCGTATTCCTCTTTTCATCATGTTTACTTCTTACTTTTACTACCTACTATTATCAATCCTTCCCCATTCACTA